AGCTTTCAGGTGCCACTGCATTCCCCTTGTCTAGACATTGGTGCCTGTAGTGGAAGCTGCTTGCAGTACATCTGGTCTGGCCGCAGCCTTGCATGGAGCCAGTGCCTCTGCAGGTGGCTGGAGCTGTCTACCTCATCACAGCAGCTGATGTGCCTGGCTGTGCGCAGTAGCCAGACTCCACACTTGCTCACTCACACACCCCTCACTGCTTCGCACCTGGCTTGCCCTTGGCAGGTGTTGGGGTCCTGGCTGGTAGCATAGGCTAAGTGTAGCCTGCCAGGCTAAGTGGGCGGAACAAGCCCAGTGGATGTGAGCAAAACAAAGCAGAGGTGCCATTGACCACAGAGGTTTCTAGCTGGCAAAGTGACTCCCTAAGGATCCTGTGACACTCCCAAGTAGCTGGGATCACAGGTGCATGCTATGATACCCGGCTAACTTTTTGTATTTTTGGTAGAGATGGGGCTTTGCCATATTGCCCTGGCTGCTCTCAAATTCCTGAGCTCAAGGAATCTGCCTTTCCTCTCCCTCCCAAAGTGCTGGGATTATAGGCATGAGCCACTGTGCACAGCCTATTGTTTTAAGTAGATTTGTCTTTTAGTATTCATACTAGAGATATGATTGGATTACACACCACAAGTATATTATTAGAGTATTTTGCATATGCCTGTATACTCACTTTTACCAATGGGTTTTATACCTTCAAATGTTTTTTTGTTTTTGCATGTGGTGTCCTTCTCTTTCATACTGAAGAATCCCTGTAGCATTTCTTATTAGTCCGTTACAAGTGTTCAGTTGTCCTAGTAAAGACTTTATCTCCTTCATGTTTCAAGGATAGCTTTGCTGAGAATAATATTCTTGGTTGACAGTTTTTTATTTTCTTTTTCTTTCAGCACCACTTTGAATATGTCATTTCAGTCCCTCCTGGCCTATATGCTTTCTGCTGAGGATTCTATTGCCAGATAAATCAGAGTTCCTTTATATGTTGTTCACTTCTTTTCTCTTGATGCTTTTAGAATCTTCTATTTGTGCTTGACTTTGAGAATTTACTTATTTATTAAACTTTTAGATTTGGGTAAATGTGAAGGTTTGTTACATAGGTAAACTTGTATCATGGGGGTTTGTTGTACTCTTCTTTCATCACCCAGGTATTAAGCCCAGTACCCAATAATTATCTTTTCTGCTTATCTTCCTTCTCCCAGCCTCCACCCCAGTGTCTCTTGTTACCTTCTTTGTGTTCATAAGTTCTCATAATTTAGTTCCCACTTATGAGTGAGAACAAGTAGTGTTTGGTTTTCTGTTCTGCATTAGTTTGCTAATGATAATGGCCTTCAGCTCCATCCATGTACTTGCAAAAGACATGATCTTATTCTTTTTTATGCTGTATAGTATTCCATGGTGTATATGTACCACATTTTCTTTATCCAGTCTACCATTAATGGGTATTTAGATTGATTCCATGTTTTTGCTATTGTGAATAGTGCTGCAGTGAACATTTGTGCACATGTATTTGTGGTAGAATAATTTATATTCCTCTGGGCATATACCCAGCATGGTAGTTCTGCTTTTAGCTCTTTGAGGAATTGCCATATTGCTTTCCACAATTGTTGAAATAATTTACACTCCCACTAACAGTGTGTAAGTGTTCCCTTTCCTCTGCAACCTTGCCAGCAACTGTTACTTTTTGACTTTTTAATAATGGCCTTCTGACTGGTGTGAGATGGCATCTCATTGTGGTTTTGATTTGCTTTTCTCTAGTGATCATTATATTGAGCTTTTTTTTTTTTTTTTTTTTTTTGAGATGGAGTCTTCCTCTGTTGCCCAGGCTGGAGTGCAGTGGTGTGGTCAAGCCTCACTGCAACCTCCCAGGTTCAAGCAATTCTCCTCTCTCAACCTCTCGAGTAGCTGGGACTATAGGCATGAGCTACCATGCCTGGCTAATTTTAAAATTTTTAGTAGAGAGGGGGTTTCACCATGTTGGCCAGGCTGGTCTTGAACTCTTGGCATCAGGTGATCCACTTGCCTCAGCCTCCCAGGTGTTGGGATTACAGGCATGAGCCACTATGCTGGCCTAAGCTTTTTTTTCATAAGCTTGTTGGCTGCATGTATATCTTCTTTTGAAAAGTGTCTATTCATGTCCTTTGCCCACCTGTTAATGGATTTGTTTTTCTCTTGTAAATATAAGTTCTTTATAGATACTGGCTATTAGACCTTTGTTAGATGCATAGTTTGCAGATATTTTGTCCCATTCTGTAGGTTGTCTATTTACTTTTTTACTTTTGCTATACAGAAGTTTAATTAGATACCATTTTTCAATTTTTGCTTCTGTTGTGATTGCTTTTGGTGTCTTTGTCATGAAATCTTGCTCATTCCTATGTCCAGGATGGTATTGCCCAGGTGAGAATTTATTATGTGCCTTGGGGTAGTCTTATTTGAATTGAATCTGTTTGGTGATCTCTCTAACCTTCCTGTACATGGATATTTATATTTTTCAGATTTGGATATTTTTCTATTGCTATTTCTTTGAATAAGTTTTTTACCCTTTGCTGTTTCTCACTCCCTCTTCAAGGCCAGTGATTCTTAGATTTGGTCTTTTGAGGTAATTTTCTATATTTTGTAGGTAGGTATTCTTTTTTCTTTTTCTTCTCTGTGTATTTTCAAATAGCTGTCTTCAAGCTCACTGATTCTTTCCTCTGCTTGATCAATTCTGCTTTTAAAAACCTTTAATGTATTTTTCAATTCAGGAAATGTATTTCACAGTTCCAGGATTTCTGTTTGATTTTTTAAAGTTATTATTTCAATATTAAAAAAAATTCACTGATAGATTTCTGAATTGACTTCCTGTTTTATACAGGAGTTCACTGAGTTTTTGAATCCTGGGCAGACAAGGATTAGAAAAAGCAATGATTAAGGAATATAGAGATGCAACATTAAGAATTCTTTAACAATGATAAAAAGGGCTGGGCATGGTGGCTCACGCCCGTAATCCCAGCACTTCAAGAGGCCAAGGTGGGAGGATCACTTGAGGTCTGATCAGCCTGGCCAACATGGTGAAACCCTGTCTCTACTAAAAACTCAAAAATTACCTAGGCATGATGGCATGCACCTGTAATCCCAGAAACTTGGGTGAGGCAGGAGAATCACTTGGACCCAGGGGGTGAAAGTTGCAGTAAGCTGAGATCATTCCACTGCACTCCACTCTGGGCGATAGAGTGAGACTCTGTCTCAAACAAACAAACAAAAACAATGATAAAAAAGATTTAACATCACTGAAAATGGTAAGGTAGTGAGTAAACCCTAAACCTCCACCCCTCCATTAAAGCAATGATTATAAGACTATACTTTGAACAATTATATGACAACAGATTAGCTAACCTAGATGAAGTGGACAAATTTCTAGCAACACAGAAATTGCCAAAACTGACTCAAGAAGAAGTTAAAAACTTTAGTAGATGTGTAACAGTGGATTATGTCAATAATCAAAATCTCTGAACAAATAAAGGCCCAGAACCAGATGACTTTAAAAAAAAAAAAGAAAAAAAAAACCAGAATTATTGATCTGAAGAATATCACTTTACTGTCTGGTTAGGGCTGGTCACTGGTTCCTTATTTCCATTTGAGGAGGTCATGGTTCCTTGTTTGCTGTTGTTTCTTGTGGACATATATCTATGCCTTCTCATTGAGGGATTAGTTATTTCAGTTTTCACTGTCTAGCTTGTTTGGGTTTTTCTTGGAGATGTTTACATAGGTTCTTTACAATTCACCTGTTGAATTTCCTTCATGCTAGGTCACTACCTCCTTCTTGGCACTAGATAGCAGCTCATATCCAGGTTTGCCACAGCTCTGGCAAGTGTTCAGAGTGCAGATGGTCCTGGGTTGGGGAGATCCCAAATGGGATACCCCAGCTGTATGGAAAGCTGACTAGGGTTTCATACCCAGCTAGCCTGTGGAGTGTGTCTACTACAGTGTGGTGCTGCTGAACAGCCACTCTGATTTGGCATCTTCTTTGGCTGAGGTGCTGCTGAACAGCCACTCTGATTTGGCATCTTCTTTGGCTGAGGTGCTGCGGAACAGCCACTCTGATTTGGCATCTTCTTTGGCTGAGTTACCAAGCAGATTTTGCAGGTTAGAGTTGCTGCTGTTCCTACCTCCCACCTTTGTCTTTGGCTGCTCTCAGGAGTTTTTCTTCCTATAGGCACTTGTGATGCTTTCTGTGGTTAAGGCAGGAACAGTTCTGCAAGGAACCCATGATGGTAGGGAAGTTGGTCTTGATCTCACTTTTTCCAGTGTAGAAACTGAGTTTGGGGACAATTTTCCACAGAGAGTTCCTTGCAGATTAGGAGAGAGGCATCACAGATACAGAAGTCTGATTCTCTTATAATATGTTTGAAATTTTTTCACTTCTTTGTGGCCCCGGAGATTACCTCATCCTCAGATTTGAGTTCTGGGATATTGCTGGTAACAGTCTTGGCACTGGATATTGGTTTTTGGTTTTCTGTTGGGGGAGGTGAAGCCAGATTGCTTCAACTTTGCCATTTTGGTGATGTCATTCTCCCTGATTATTTCTTGATGAAAATTTTCTGGTTATGGATTTACTTTGAGTTTGCAGTCACCCACGTTGCATGAATGCCTAAGTTGACTATACCATTTGCAATCATGAGTTAGTATTGATTCCTTCCTGATTATTGTTTTAATTTAAACTTAAACATAAAATTATACCAGTTTTATGGTAATTTTTGCTTTACTTAGTAAGAGCTCTTGAATACATGCTATTATGAGCTGTAGTTTCCCCATCTTATAGCTGTTTGACTTATATTTTTTTCAGGTTTATGACATAATAATCTTCCTGGAGCTTATACTCATTTAAGAACAGCTTCACTACTGAAGTTCTTGAATGAAACAGCTCAATAGAAAGTATGAAGATGCCTTTGTTTATAGTATTGTCAGGACAGCACCTCCTAGTTGTACATATCATAATTATATTTTTAAAAAATATCTTATAGGTGAAGTGCCAGCATTATAAGAAAAAACGAATGGAACAAGAAGAAACTATTGCTTCTTTGCAAAAGGAAGTCTGTAGATTAAGAAAGGAGGAAGAAGATCGCATTGTCACTCAAAACAGAGTGTTTGCCTATCTGTGCAAAAGAGTTCCTCATACTGTCTTGGATAGACGGTAATTTTGCTACATAAATTGATATGTAGCTTGATTCATTGCTTTGTTTGTTTTACCTTATTTTATCTTGGGGGTGGTTATAACTCTTATAAACTAGAAGAGTCTCTCTCTCCTCCTGTTCTGCATTTTTTTTCCTATTCTTTTTTGTTGTTGTTCTAGAGGTCCTTTGAGGAATGGAATTGAACATTTACTAAAAATAACATTGAACCTTTAAATTTAAATAAATTCATAATTAATCAGATGTTTCTTAAAATAACTGATCCTTTTAGTGAAGAATAATATTTAGAGATCACTGTATGGGTTTGGGGGTTGCTTAGTTTTATTATGTTATTGATTTTAGGAGTTGTTAGTGCAAAGAACTAGGGACTGTATATTTTGAAGGGAAAAAAATCATCATTGATGTTTTTTAAACAAGCTAAAGTTAAGGTAGTATTTTTATTTAAATTCTGATTTTACATTTGTAACTGCTGTCTTTTCTACTAAAAATCATTCTTAAGAACAATATTATATTTTTGGTATCCTATAATAAAAATAGTTTAAAATAATAAAACTAGAATTACTAACAATAAACCTCCTGAATGAAACTTAAATTTTTGGGATGTTCTCTTTGACATTAATATATTCCACTATGTATGCAGTCAAGATGTGTATTTCTAAATATCTTGAAATACTTGTTTTCTTGTGTGTTGTATCACCAAGTTATAATGCAGTTAGGTTGCTTCAGTTTTTTTTCAATTTTCAGGTGTTACTTTTAAAATTTTTACTTTTGAATGTATAAACATTTATATAATTCAAAAATCAAAACTATTAGTTATATAGATACCGAGAAATTGTGTTTTCATTCCTGTCCCCTTTACTCCATCCTATCCTTACTCCCCTATGGGTAATTGATTTTAAATGTTTAGTGTTATTTTTAGCAATATAAGTAGTATGGATATTATATTCATATTCTCTCTTGTTTAAGTGGTAGCACCTTGTTTTTTTTTTCCTCTCAACAGTTTAAACTGATTGCATTTTAAGCAGTACTATGTGTTTACCTATTAGGATTGGGAATCTTGAATAATTAGGTGTTTCTATTACTATAAAAGTAAACAAGGTCAGATATAGAGTAAAAACAAAACTACAGATTTTTAAATAATTATTTGAGAGATAATACACATATATACACATATATAATTTTCATCCTTTTGAAGGAAAAGTAAGGACAAACACATAACAAAAACAACATAAAAATGTTAGAGGTGTGAATAAATAGAAGAAGGAGGTGAGGTAAGAAAAATAGAAGAGGTAAGGAACAAAAAGGAAAGGGACAGGAGGAGACAGAACTACAGTGGGAAGAAGAAGGAAAAGAAGAGAGGAATTGGAGGAATGAAAAAACAAAAAATAGCTAAGATGACTGAATAAGAGGGTAAGAGAAGTGCTGAGAGAACTTGCAATATACCAGATGAAGTCAGGCTAACTCAGGTATGAATTTGTCCAGTGGGCCAGAGATTCTCCATTCTGTTTAATTTTTATCAATGCAAACTTTCAGTTTGAGACACTGAAATAAAAAATTGTGAATTAAACCTATTGGAAATACATGAGTTGTAGCCACTACAGATATTATCAAAAGTTACACAGGTACTAGGCTAAGTAATAGGGCACACACACATGAGTAAAGCCGTGATTCCTACATTCAGTGACCTGATAGCCTAGTTGGGTAGACAGACATAGATGCAGGTAAGTAAAATATAAAGCAGATAGTGGTATATACCATAAGGTGGGGGCAGATAGGATACTAAGTAGGTATGACATAGGGAGAAATTAGTGAAAGGTAAGAATGACTAGATAGGCTTCATGAATGAGTGATCTTTTTAGCTGGACTATTTAGGAACTATAGAATATTAATAGGCAGAGGTGAGAGAAAGGGTGTTTCAATTAGAGGAATATGGTAACAGGAAAAGTGAACGTGTTTGGGATGTCAAGTAGTCCAGGGAGTCTGGAGCATAGGCTACATGAGATGCTGAGAAGAGTCTTAAGCGACAATATGACAGTTTGGTAAGTGTGCTGTAACTTGGAGAAACTTAAACTGGCTGAAGAGTTTGAGTTCTACTTTCTGTGTGGCAGGAAATATACCCAAAGATTTCTGAGCAAGGAAATTAAACCCAGAGACAGACAAATTAGTAATCAGTTATAGTAGTCTAGGTGAGGGCCAACCAAGGTCTTAACTAGGACCCAAAAAAGGGAGAGACACTGCAAAAATGGACCGGAGCTGTCCAAGTGAATTGGCTATAGATGTTGAAAGGAGTGGGAGTCAAAGATGGCAGTGTTTAAGTTACATTTGAAAGAGTGGGGAGGAAACCAATGAATTCATTATGGATATATTCTTAGGCACCTTCAGTCATCCATGTAAACATATCAGGTCTGTTGTTAAAAAGGCCAAACTCTAGAGAACTTGCAAATTCATATAGAGAAAGAAGAGGCAGAAGTGGAATTGTGTTTGGGTATCATGATAACCAAGGAACAAAAGTGTTTCAAGGTGAGGGTGACTGGCAGTGTTTCATGCTTCCTGATTGGTTAACTTGTGTACTTTCCCACTATTTTATTTGCTCAGAATTCCCAGTACTTAACATGTAATAAGTCCCCCTTAAAACATTATTGAGGATAATTAGTGACAATAATTCAGAATGAATGAAGTTTGCTATGAAGGAAAAGATTAGAAATAGAATCATAAGGGGAAAGTAGGTCAAGAGGATTTGTGTAGGACATAAAGAAGATTAAAGCATATTTTCAGGATAATGTGAAAGCTGTTGCATTTTGAGACAGGGAAGGATTGACGAATAGTCTATAAAATTGTGATATTAAGAGTACAATTGGCTGAATGAGGTCTGAAAAGGGGGATCGGTTGGTACTGGTTTCCCAAGATAGGATGGAAACAGTATAAATTGTTCCTTTAAAAAGAATAACACATAAAAGCAGAGTATTATTTTGTTTTTCTCTCATTTTTTAAATCAGAAAAGCAATAAATACATGCTTATAAAAATTCAAACAGTATAAAAGTGTGTATGGTAAAATGTAACAGATCTACTTCAGCCGGGCATGGTGGTGCATGCCAGTAGTCCCGGTTACTCGGGAGGCTGAGGTTGGAAGATTTCTGGAGTCCAGGAGTTCTGGGCTATAGTGTGCTATGCTGATCGAGTGTCCACACTAAGTTCAGCATCAATATGGTGACCTCCCGAGAGCGGGAGACCACCAGGTTGTCTAAGGAGGGGTGAACCGGCCCAGGTCAGAAATGGAGCAGGTCAAAATTCCCGTGCTGATCAGTAGTGGGATCATACCTGTGAATAGCCACTGCACTCCAGCCTGGGCAACAGAGGGAGATCCCATCTTAAACAAACAAACAAACAAACAAAAAAACCCCAGATCTATTTGCTTTCTTAATCCCTACATCCCAGAGATAACCTCTCCTAACAGTTTGATGTGTGTTCTTCCTACTGTTTCTCAACAGGAGTGCTGTTGGCATTTTGAGTGAGATAGTTCTTTGTTTATTGTGTTGTTCACTGATGAATTTTTAGCATTCTGCCCCCTCTCCAACTAGTCAATATGGTAACATTGCCCGACCACACATCCCCTAGGTTACAATAATATTCCCGGGTTAAGAACCCGTAGAGTTCTTTTTCATTATATATACATATTCACATCTAACTTTTTTCTTTAGACAAAAGTAAAAAATGTACATTACTTTTTTCCAATCATCATTCCTTGTTAAGGACATACAAATTTACATTATTTTTTCTAATTCCCCATTATTTTCTTTTCTTTTTTTTTTTTTTTTTTTTTTTGAGACAGAGTTTCGCTCTTGTTACCCAGGGTGGAGTGCAATGGCGCGATCTCGGCTCACCGCAACCTCCGCTTCCTGAGTTCAAACAATTCTCCTGCCTCAGCCTCCCAAGTAGCTGGGACTACAGGCATGCACCACCATGCCCAGCTAATTTTTTTGTAGAGATGTTTTTAGTAGAGATGGGGTTTCACCATGTTGACCAGGATGGTCTCGATCTCTTGACCTCGTGATCCACCCGCCTCGGCCTCCCAAAGTGCTGGGATTACAGGCTTGAGCCACCGCGCCCGGCCCGCATTATTTTCTATAGTGTGGGTGTGCCATTATTTAACCTTTCTCCTGATGGAGAGTTAAATTATTTCTGGCTTTTTACTTTATAAATAAGCGCAGTGAACAACTCTTTGTTCATATTGAGTTGCATCCTTTGACAAATATTTCTGTGGGAGATACTGGTAGAAGTAGAACTGTTGGGAATAGGAGGATATGCATTTAATAAGTTGAGATACAATGTTTATAGTTATTTTAAAATCTATACTTTGAAATTAATATAACATATGACTTAGTATAATATTTGCTTTCTGGTAAGAATCACTTAAATTTTTTCAAGCCTGAGATAAAGATAAAATATGTACTTACTTTTACACTGTAATTTGAAATTATGTAGTGAAACTAGTATATACTCTAATACCACATTTTGAAAATAATTCAATATTCTGTTTTCTAGGTTGCTTTGTCTGATTGATTACTATGAATCTAAAATTAGAAACATTCATATGCAAAGGTATGAATAATCCTATATTATAATTTTTAAAGTTTCTGTAGCTTTTGAAACTTTAAATATATTTTGGAAATCCATCTAATATGTCACTGTGAAGTTCTTTTTTATAAAGATCTTGAAGACTGTATTTTACTACTTAAGTCAAGATGTACTGTTGAATTTATGTTAAATTATGTATACTTGGCTAGGTGTGGTGGCTCACCCCTGTAATCCCAGCACTTTGGGAGGCTGAGGCAGATGGATTACGAGGTCAGGAGTTCAAGACCAGCCTGGCCAACATGGTGAAACCTCGTCTCTACTAAAAATATAAAAATTAGCCAGGTGTGTTGGCAGGCACTTGTAATTCCAGCTACTTGGGAGGCTGAGGCAGGAGAATCGCTTGAAACTGGAAGGCGGAGGTTGCAGTGAGCCAAGATTGCACCACTGCACTCCAGCCTGGGTGAAAGAGCAAGACTCTGTCTCAGAAAAACAAACAAACAAATGAAAAAAAAAAACGCTACGTATACTTAATTATCACCAAAGTATTAGTCACAGCAGAAATAGTATTTCCCTTTATTTTGTTGAAGTATTATAATTTGTTCTACCTATGTGATCTTGCCCCTGGGTAGTTACCTAGTATATCTACAAAGTGCATAGAATTAGATTAGTCACCTACCAAAGTGTAACCTAATTAGTATGCAGGTTTATGTGAGAGAGAAAATGTCAGTGAAAAATCAAGCATATAGATTAAAACACACTTATCACCTGATTAAAGAAATAAGCATAAAGATATATGGTCTTTGGCTAAACTAAAATAGCTGAAGGATATCTAAGATATAATCTAAAATGCTTAAATGTAAGGTCACTGAAAATGTAGCTCATCTATTAGTTATAGAAGGAACAGTTCTTTGAACAAATAAATATTTATTTGAGCACCTATTTTGTACCATGTTCTAAGTAATTAGGATCCCATAGTAAAGCAGATAAATTATTCACTTTTATGAAGTGTACACTCTAGTATTCTTACCCCAAGAATAATGACTTTCCAAAATCTTAGAGAAAACAATGGCAGAGCTCTGCGGGTTGTGGGTTGCTGATTATCTCTAGTACTGTGGGGACTCCCCCCAAAAAAAGAGAAGAAGAGAGAGAAGAAAGGGAAAAGAAAAGGAAAAAAGAAGGGAAGAAGAGAGCAACTAATTAAAAAGCAACTTCTTGCTTTATTCTTTTCAGAAAGCAGCATTATCAAATAGCTTCAGGGAACTTCTGACTTCCAAATGAAACTGTTGTTTAGATGGTGGAGATTCTACAAAGTTAGGCCAGGCATGGTGGCTCACACCTGTAATCCCAGCACTTTGGGAGGCGGAGGTGGGCGGATCACCAGGTCAGGAGATCAAGACCATCCTGGCTAACATGGTGAAACCCCATCGCTGAAAAAAAAAAAAAAAAAATTCTGTAAAGATAGGACAACTACTCAGATCTGTTACAGCACAGAATTAGCCACAGATAATATGTAAATGAATTGGCACAGCTATGTTCCAGTAAAAATAGTTACAAAACCAACAGCATGCTGAATATAGCCTGCAGACAGCAGTTTGTAACCCCTGATCTAGATGATGAAGTGAGTGGATTTGGGGTTTTTAGTAAGAGAAGATTTAACATAATATAGCCATCAGGAAATCTTTCATGTAGAATATGCTGTGAGAGAGGTACTTGTAGTGTTTTGCAAATGGGGTTCTCTGACTAAAGATGATAAAAGTATTGAGGTCATGGGAGCGGTGGTATTGAATTTAGTTGTCATGAATTTGTAATATAAATCTGGGGCTGAGAAATAAGTGACTTGGAGAAGAATCGCTTTTTAACTTTAATTTTCATCCGTGGTCTAGGTGAAGTAAAGTATTTTAGCCTATACAAATTATGCTTCGATCAGATATTTGGATTGAATGTCTTACTGAGGGAAGTGAAGGACAGGAAGAAAATAGGAGCTATATTAATAAGTAATATTCTACAAATGAGAAAATTTGCAGCAATAAAAAGAGTCTCCTAAGGAGGGGGTTTTTCAGGATTCATTGAACAAAGTTTATAAACTCAGTCTCCTTTCTAAGAGTGAGTGCTAACTTGAAAGTGAGATTCTGGTAATTTCAGGATAGATTTTTAGATCTACAAATAGGATATAAGTATCACCTAAAGAAGTAGGAGTACTGTAAAAAGAGGATGTAATAATTCATTGACAAGTATTACATTAGTAAAGAAGATGAAAGAGGAGAGGAGGGAAGTCAGGCTAAGATTTGGAGGCCCAAGTGGGATAAACAGGAAGCACAGGAGAAGAGCTATGAACCTGTAGAGCTGAAACATCAGGACCAAAGGAAGAAGACAGGTGGGACATGGGTGTCTCGCAGTGACAAAAGCTTCTCTGCTTTACCTTTTTTTTTTTTAAGGCCAGTGGTGTCCAAAATGTTTCTTTTTTCTTTCTTTCTTTCTTTTTTTTTTTTATCATGAGAGACTATGTGTAAATGCTTAAACCTATTAGGAATAAACAAACCATTTGAACTGAATCAGTCCATTGACACTTACTAGACTAGCGATGTATTTATGTGTAATACTAGAAATCCTGCATGTAAAACTTTATGTGATGCAGCAGTTAAAATGAAATGTAGTCCTAAACAATAAAGTTGTGTTTAACAGAAAAGTATTTTATACTGCTTCAATTTTTAAATTTAAGATTTAATTAAAGTTTAGTTCTTTGGTGGCATTACCCATATTTCAAGAGTTAAATGGTAACCACTAGCTCACATAGCTATTGGTTATTGTATAGGACATCACAGTGATAGTTCATCAAGATTACTAAAAATAATCATACTTATTCGCTAGCACTTTGCATTTCAGAGTCCTTCAATGTCTTTCACTTGCCTTTTATACCAATCCTTTGAAGGAGATGTGACAGATATTGTTTTACAGATGAGAAAATAAATTCTGAGAGATTGACTTATTCAAATAATTATTTGAATTCAAATTATTCAAATAATACAACTGGTTAGTGGTGTTATCAATGCTTGAACCAAGACTATTACATCTGTTGCTTTTCTGCTATGCTCTGCATTTTTTCATACAGGTTTTTTGGTGACCGTAAAGTACTAGAAGGAAAAAATAATATGTGGAGAATGCATTTTTTAAAAGAACATGGATGTTCCACCTATGTTTTATTTGTTTATTCAGCCATGCTTTTTCACCTCCTCTTATATTCCATACTTTTCTAGGCAGTGAGATACAGTGGTGAATAAGACAAAGTTCTGGTCCTCATGGATCATGTATTCTAAGTAGGGAGAGTAAACGGATACTGTATATACTATAATATTAGATAGTAGTAGTGTTCTAATACCATTCTCTATGAGAACAAGTAGGAAATTTGGATTGATTTTAATTCATGTTTAGATTATTAAACTCTCATTAGATTGGTTTAATTAGATTTTTATATTTGAAGATAGATTTTTCATAAGTATACTGCATCCATATTTTCCTAGGCAATATAAAGAAGATGAAAGTCAGTCAGAAGAAGAAAAGGACTACAGAAATCTGGATGCCTCACCAACTTATAAAGGCCTTTTAATGGTATGGGGACTGCATTACTAATACATACTTTCTATTAAAGGAAGTAATCTAAGAAAGTTAATTATTTTTCTATGAAATGTGTTGCAGTCATTACAGAATCAACTCAAAGAATCAAAATCTAAGATTGATGCACTTTTAAGTGAAAAGCTGAACCTACAAAAAGATTTGGAAACCAGGTGAGAGAAACTTCAGTAATTTTTTTTTTTTTTTTTTTTTTTTTTGAGATAGGGTCTTACTCTGTCAGTGAGGCCGAGTGTGGTGGCATGATCACATCTCACATGTCTCATTGCAGCCTTGACCTCCTGGGCTCAAGCAATCCTTCCACCCCAGACATTTAAGCAACTGGGACTACAGGTGTGAGCCACCACACCCAGCTAATTTATTATTATTATGTATTTATTTAAATAATAAAGGCTGGAGTGCAGTGACATGATCTCAGCTCACTGCAACCTCTGCTTCCTGTGTTCAAGTGACTCTCCTGCCTCAGCCTCCCAAGTATCTGGGATTACAGGTGCATGGCATGATATCTGTCTATTTTTTTGTATTTTTAGTAGAGACAAGATTTCTCCATGTTGGTCAGGCTGGTCTCGACCTCCTGAACTCAAGTGATCCTCCCATCTCAGCCTCCCAAAGTGTTAGGATTACAGGCATGAGCCACCATGCCCAGCCTCTAATTTTTTAATGTTTTTGTTTGGTGGAGATGGGGTCTCCCTGTGTTGCCTAGGCTGGTCTTGAACTCCTAGGCTCGGTGCTGGAATTCCCAAAATACTGAAATTACAGGTATGAGCCACTGCATCTGGCCAGTTTTTCTTCATTTTTTGAAAAGTAAATGTATACTGGAATTTGGAATATGAAATGCACCATTCTTTCCCCTTTGTTCTAAAGCTAATCATGAGTACATAATATACTCATTCTAGTCAGTTCTCTCTCATGATAACTTATGGAAGGAACAAGAGCACATTGGTAGGCAAGGGAAATGAGAAAATTGGAGTCCACATTGAAGAAGATAAAACTAGCTAAGAACTTCAAATAAGCTGGGCACAATTACTTTCACCTGTAATCTCAGCACTTAGGGAAGCTGAGGCAGGCCGATCGCTTGAGGCAGGAATTCAAGACCAGCGTGGGCAACATGGCAAAACTACTTCTCTACAAAAAATGTAAAAATTAGCTAGGTGTGATAGTACGCACCTGTAGTCCCAGCTACTCAGAAGGTTGAGGTGGAAGACTCAGTTGACCCCTGGAGGTCGAGGCTGCAGTGAGCCACGATCATGTCACTGTACTCCAGAGTGGATGACAGAGTGAGACCCCGTCTCAATTAAAAAAAAAAAAAAAAACTTTGAATAGATTTAGCCTTTTTTTTTTTTTTTTTGCTTTAAAAAAATAGCTTAATGAGTTACAATTGATGTACAGTACACTGCATATATATGTAAGGTATACAATTTGTTGAATTTTGATATATGTATACACCTGTGAAACAGTTACAATCCAGATAATTACTCTAACAATCACAGTCAAGATAATCACTTAGAACCAACCCAAATGCCCATCAATGATAGACTGGACAGGGAAAATGTGGCACATATACACCATGGAATACTATGCAGCCATAAAAAAAGACAAGTTCGTGTCCTTTGTAGGGACATGGATGAAACTGGAAATCATCATTCTCAGCAAACTGACACAAGAACAGAAAATCAAACACCGCATGTTCTCACTCATAGGCGGGTGTTGAACAATGAGAATACATGGACACAGGGAGGGGCGCATCACACACTGGGGTCTGTCAGTGGGAAATAGGGGAGGGACAGCAGGGGGGTGGGGAGTTAGGGAGAAATAGCATGGGGAGAAATGCCAGATATAGGTTATGGGGAGGAAGGCAGCAAATCATACTGCCATGTATGTACCTATGCAACAGTCTTACATGTTCTTCACATGTACCCCAAAACCTAAAATGCAATTTAAAAAAAAGATAATCATCCTGGAGGCTAGGTGCAGTGGCTCATGCCTATAATACCAGCACTTTGGGAGGCCCACGTGGGAGCATTGTTTGAGTCCAGGAGTTTGAGACCAGCCTGAGCAACACATGAGACCTTGTCTCTATAAAAAATTTTTAAAAATTAGCCAGGCATAGTAGCATACTCCTGTAGTCCCAGCTACTAAGGAGGCTGAGGTGAGAAGATCACTTGAACCCAGAAGGTCAAAGCAGCTGTGATCACACCACTACACTCCAACCTGGGCAACAGATACTCTGTCTCTTAAAAACAAAAAACCAAAAAATAAACACCATAGAAGTTACCTCTTGCCCCTTTTGTAATCCCTTCCTCTTGCCCCTCTTTGCCTTTGCCTCAGGCAACCACTGATTTGCTTTCATTCAAGTAAAATTTATAATGGCACACTACAGAAATGTATATCCAGCATAGCTACAAAAGGATGACACTTTCTCTGTTGACTGTAATAAAGGATGAACATCATTGATCCTTTTTTTATTCAAATGTTTGAATACCTATCATAAGTTAGACACTGTCCCAACTTAAAGCAAAGACCAATACAGATTTTTTTTTTCTCATAAAGCTTATACTTTAATGGCTGGGCACGATGGCTCATGCCTGTAATCCCAGCACTTTGGGAGGCTGAGGCGGGCCTCCTGAGGTGAGGAGTTCAAGAGCAGCCTGGCCAACTTGGTAAAACCCTGTCTCTACCAAAAAAAGACAAAAATTATCCAGGCATGGTAGTCCCAGCTATTCAAGAGGCCAAGGTGGGAGAATGGCTTGAGCTTGGGAGGTAGAGGTTGCAGTGAGCTGAACTCATGCCACTGCACTCCAGCCTAAGTGACAATATGAGACCCTGTCTCAAAAAAAATAAAAAAGCTTATACCTTAATGGAGAGGGACCTGATACCTACAGCATAAGCCATTTATATAAAATGTGAAACCTTGCATGTAATAATATGTAAATTTATGATTATATAAATATGCAGTAAAAAGTTAAAAACATACAAGGGAATAATGAACAATGAATTGAGGATAGTGGTTATCTATGGTATGGGAAGGAGAAGAATGACATGAGGGACAAGTGGAATTTTAAGTATAGTATATGTATAAAGTTTGAGTTAAAATTTGAATCTTATTCAAATATTCAAATTTGATAAAGCAAGGTGGGGGATACACCAGGATTTGTTATAATATTCTCTGTTTTTGTCTGTATACTTGAAATATTTCACTATAAAAACAAGTAATAGATTAGCAGCAAAAAATGACTAAAAAGTTTTGAATAAGGGATTACACAGAAGAAGAAATCTAAATGGCCAGTAAATGCCAAATTAGGAGTCATGAAATATTTTCAGAAGTTTAATAAGTATATTTATGACAAGTAGGAAAGTATTGTATGTCATTTATTAAGTACCTTTATGGTTTTATTCAGTAAATTGAATTAATTTATCATTGTTTATTTTCCACAGGCCCACACAGCATGAATTAAGAATTTATAAACAGCAGGTGAAGAAACTGGAAAAAGCCCTTAAGAAAAATGTCAAGTAATTATATTTTTACCAAAATTATTGCCTTTACTAGGGTTTTAAATTTATTTTTATTACTTATCAGCTTATGCCACCTCCTAGTGGCTTTGATTTGGACTTACCAGGCTGATGAGGAAAATGACATTAAAAGGGGGTATTTCTGGTTTCACAGTTTAAGAGCAATTTCTATTGTGTTGGATTTGGCTATATATTCATCTTAAGTGAGAGCAAAAAAAAGGTTGTTGCCTGAAGCAATAAAGGACAAAGGTTTTAAATAGAAAATTATCTTTGGAAGTAATGGAAGCATGGCAAGAGAATCAATGAAATTAGAAGTGACAAGCCCCCAATTTTTGTTGTTGGTAGTTATGATATGAATATTTTAAAGTGAACCTTATCACACTTTAAAAGTACCAGAGGGAATGCAGTGAGCTATTTGTATCTGCTTGTACCCTTCCTGACTTTGAAAAGCAAGTGCTCAGTGTTTCAAAGAGTTGATCTGAAACAGTGATGGTGTTTTTTGAAGATTATCTATGTGTACTCTTTGATTCAAGGGAATGGGATTTGAGAAATTAGTTTGGGGAGTGTTCGTATGAAATATTTTGAAAGCTATGAGTTAATATATGCATTAAATGTATTGTCAGTTTTATTAGCATATATGATTCAGTTTTCAGTGACAGCTATGTTTCTTCCTTCCTACGGCAACATGTAACAGTGACAGGCAAGTATCATGGATGTCCAGGAATTACATACTGAGTTAAAATAATAGGGGCCAGGTGCAGTGGCTCGCGACTATAGTCCCAGCACTTTGGGAGACTGAGGCAGGAGGATTGCTTGAGTCCAGGAGTTTGAGACCTGCCTGGGCAATGTAGTGAGTCCTTGTCTCTACAAAGAATTTAAAAATTAACCAGGTATGATGGTGCATACCTGTACCCCCAGTTACATAGGAGGCTGAGGTGGGAGGATTGCTTGAGCCCAGGAGGTCAAAGTTGCAATGAGCTGTGATCACACTACTATACTCCAGCCTGGGCAACAGAGCTCTGTCTCTGCCCCTCCCCACAATAAAAAGATAATAGGGGAGGAAAACTAAGAAAAGAGAAGTGGAAGGTTCGGAAGGGATGCATGCATAGTCAATGAATAATTATTCCTTTCCTGCTATTCCTTGACATTTTGGGTACTTATAACTCTTCTTACATCTGTTTGGCATTCTTGGCACTGGTTGTGGTGGTAAACCAAAGAGAAAAGGTTCCTCATAGAGATTACATCAAGGGAGAAAGACAATGAAAAAATAAATAATAGTTTCAATATACTATAAGTACTAAAAGTAAAATAGTGGGAGAGTAGCCATTATATGAGTTTGGACAAGCGATGGTAGTGACATGGTCAAAGGTGGCAGAAGTAGAGGTGATGAGAAGTATTTGGAATTGGAGAATGGAGGTAGAACTAATAGGACTTCATGATGGGTTGAATATAGGGAATTGTGGGGAAAAAGGAAGACTCAAAAGTCTCCCAAGTTTTAACCTTGAATAACAAGGCAGTTGTGGGTGCCATTAACGAGATAGGAGATTGAGAGAGAGGCAACTGGGAAAAGGAGGATGTGGGGAGGTAAAAAAAGAAGGAAACCTGTTGACTCTAAAGCAAGTGTGTAAGATATGCACACACACATGTACACACGAGCAAGTACTTAACGCACATATAGAGATATATAATCTTTATTCATAGATTCCATATTTATAAATTTGCCTACCTGCTAAAATTTATTTACAATCACAAAATCAATACAGTACCTGCAGTCATTGATGGACATGTACAGAGTGGCAAATAATTTGGGTCACCCAAAACACACATGCTTAGTTTTCAAACAAGATGATGTTCTGCCCTGTTGTTTGAGTATCATCACCAACAAAAAGCATAGAAATGCAAAAAAAAAAAAAAGTTATTTTAAGATGATTTCTTTAAGATGGCCCCTGAGTTAGTGCTGAAGTGCTGTTTACTGTTCTTATGCACAAGAAGGCTATAATATACCTTGTAGAAAAAATAACACCTATTAGATAAGCTTTATCGGGCATGAGTTACGGAGCCCTGTTGTCCATGAGTTGTGTTAATTAATCAACAATATATTTTGTAAAAGGTGTCTTTAAATAGAAACATACATACAAAGAGGTTATATATTGATCAGTTAAGGAAAATGTGACCAGAGGCTCTCAGGAACCTGACCCTGTATTTCCCCTTGGAGTAGTGGTTTAGTATTTGCTAATTCAGCATTCATGGTGATTTTATAGACCATAACTACCATGAACAATGAGAATTGACTACACACACACACACACACACACACACACACACGTTGTTTATTTGGGCTCTGGTCTTTAGAGTAACTTATTGTCATTTAAAATTATGATTCAGAGCCAATTCCTGCTATATTTTTCTGCTAAATTGTGAAGAAATTATGTGTGTGGTTTTTGTTTTTTGTTTTTTTGAGACGGAGTCTCGCTCTGTCACCCAGGCTGGAGTGCAGTGGCAACCACCATCTCCTGGGTTCAAGTGATTCTCCTGTCTCAGCCTCCCGAGTAGCTGGGATTACAGGCACACACTGCCATGCCTGGGTAATTTTTGTATTTTTAGTAGAGATGGTGTTTCAGTTTGCCAGGATGGTCTCGATCTGTTGACGTCATGATCTGCCCACCTCAGCCTCCCAAAGTGCTGATTTTACAGGCATGAGCATCCAGTGTGTTTTTGTTTTTAAATTGTTTTTAAAGTTTAAAACTTTGGTAGTATCTAGACATGGAAACAAATTTGGAAGTATTATATAACTTGCCCAAGTTATACAGGTTACCTGTATATGGAAGAACTTGAATAGAAATCAGATCCTTACCCAATCATTTTGACTCCAAACCTCATACTCTTAGCTACCACACAATTAGAACTAAACCAAGCACTCAATGAAAAAAATTTTTTCAAGGTAAAACTCAAAAAATTTTTATTTTCTGTAGTGCCAGATGTAGAATATTTTTTCAAAGTACTACTGATGCTGAAGAAATAATTAAAAATAAAATCTCCTGTCAATCCAGTGAATTCTCTTTACAAATATAGGGAAAAAAAGAAATAGTTTCGTTACAGAATAGGCTTTCAATCAGATTGTGATGCACATTACAGGAAATCTGTTAGAGATATTGCAAAGACAGAAGAAATTTCTGACTGCTCTGGAGACTATAGAACAACTCTAGCATATTTCTGAGTATAGCCCAGGCTGCTACAACACAGGTTTCTAAAATTCCAATTAAGTTGTGCAAATAGAAAATGAGGGAACCATCAGCAATATAACATAGAAGTTGTATTGTTCATGTGTGGTTTTTCCTAGACTCAAGGCACTAGAATAACAGTAGTAGTATTTATAGCCTTCAGGAAGAGGGCAAGCTTTGCTAGTACACAGGCAAGTGCCCTTTTAGCTCTAGTTTAAGAAAATTTAGAATAAACAACAGTACAGAATCACATTTCATTTCCCAGAGTAACTGTAATCAGTACATGCAATTATATATTTAGGTTATTGCACTGACAGCAAAAATGTGTATATCCACAGTATAACATTAGATTTGCAAACAATTCATTGATAAGTTGAACATTTTCATATAAGTGAAAGGAACTGGCATTTAAATTCAGATATATCAGTTTACTTCTAGTCCTTCTAGAGGCCATATCAGCTTTTCTATGTCCTTTTTTCTAAATAATATGCTCATGGCACTGCCTTTAGGCAAAACTGTGAAGAATGTGAATGTGGTAAATATGTAAGAAGTTATTTATAATTTGACTTGGGGATATACTCACTAGAGCAGCGAATAGCAACTGAGTGAACATAAGGGCAATATATGTGTGACTGGAGTAGGTAATTGTAGGGAAGTAGTAGAATCAAGTAAAAAAGGAGTCAGGAGAAATATTGTGTGACTGGCCAGGCACAGTGGCTTACTTCTGTAATCCCAGCACTTTGGGAGGTCAAGCCCAGTGGATCACCTGAAGTCAGGAGATTGAGACCAGCCTAGGCAACATGGTAAAACCCGGTCTCTACTAAAAACAAACAAACAAACAAATACAAAAATTAGCTGGGCGTGATCGTGTGTGCCTATAGTCCCAGCTCCTCAAGAGGCTGAGGCAGGAGAATTGCTTGAACCTGGGAGGCAGTGAAGCAAGATTGCGCCACTGCACTCCAGCCTGGGAAACAGTGAGACTCTTATCTCCAAAAAACAAAACGAAAAAAACCCCACAAATATTGTGTTAGGACTGACAGCATGGAGAATTTGAGTTTTGAATGCTAGCCCAGGGAAATTAGATTTAGCACATAAAGCAATGGGAAATCAATTTTCAACAGGAAAATGACATGCTGGAATTTTACTGTTCTGTTTTACAAACAGCAGGTCAGAGTGTATAATTAATGAGCCATAGAGTTAGTTTAGTGGGTTGAAGTCCCAGCAGGAAACTGATAGCATATTCAAATTGAGGAGGGGTAATTTGAAGGCTTATTAAGAGACTATAGTAGTTCCCCCTTATCAGTGGAGGATATGTTCCAGGACCCTCAGTAGATACCTGAGACTTCAGACAGAACCAAACTCAGCTGCTATCAATTGGAACACATTTCTGTCCATATATTCCACCCACAAATTTAATGCTTTTCCATCTTAACTAAGCATGCATCACACACTGTGGCTGTAACTTTTGCAGTTTGAGGTGCAACAACAAACTAGCCCAGATTTCTTATTCATTCTTCATAATTTCACAGATAGAAGATTCGTTCTTACTGTATATCTTAGCAACCTCAGCATACAATTTTTTTCTTAAGTGGAGAACTTTCACCTTTTCACTTAAAGGAAGAACTTTATGACTTCTCTTTGGCATATGCAAATTTCCACCATCACTACTCTTACGTTTTGGGGCCATTATTAAGTTAAGGTTGTTACTTGAACATTAACACTGTAATACCCCAACAGTTGATCTGATAACCAAGATGGCTACTAAGTGATTAATTGGTAGGTAGTGTACATAGCATGGATAAGCTGGACAAAGAGATGAATTACATCCTAGCTGGGATGGAGTGGGATAGTGTGAGATTTTATTACACTACTGAGAATAGTGTGCAATGTAAAACTTAGTTCTGGAATTTTTCATTTAATATTTTTGGACCTTGGTTGACCTTGTGTAACTAAAACCATGGAAAGTGAAACTACAGAGCAGTGGGTACTACTGTACTGTTTTCAAAGGCGTAAGGAGGGAGGAGAAAGACAGCCTGTCTTCAGATATGCTTGAAGAAGGACAACTATTTGCTACTAGGTGGGTACTCTTTTACATAGTTATATTTCTGGGTGAAGAGACTCTCGTTTCCCCCAGCAATCTAGCAGCCACCTGGGACAATGGTCTCTTGGATCTCCATGCCCTTTTGACTGGCCCAGGCATTGCTGTGGTCTGTTCTTTGCGGCTGGTAGAATACAAAGAGAGAGGGACCAAATGTCTAGCTGTTCTTGCTACAGTACCAAAACCAATGGCCCTTCCTATGCTTCCTGCTCCCTTTGCCTATAGTCTGTAGGCTTGGAGCCCCTTGGATGGAAGTTGCTTCCATCCTTTGTTGTATTTCTCTCTTGTTCTGTCTTTTGTGAGTGTGTGTTGGGAAGTGGTTAGAACTTTCTTCTTCAATCTGATCTCTTCCGTCTTCAGAGATTCCTTCTCATTTGTGATTTATTCCTTCTTGTTTTCTAGTGACAATATGACTTAAAAATTTTTAAACTATACATGCATATGTTTATGTGCTTATAAATATATATACACACATACATACATGTGTACACACATATAAGTAAAGTGATGTAAGGCTTTTGGAAGGGTGGCTGGATCATTGACTTAGTTTATCATCTTGGTCCAGTGTCCAGGAAATAATCTTGTATATCTTGATTTTTCTTTCCCCCTTTTAGATTACAGGAGCTTATTAGTCATAAGAAGGCTGAGGACACAGAGAAAAAAGATGAGCCCAGCAAATATAATCAGCAACAGGCCCTAATTGACCAGAGATACTTTCAGGTATTGAATTAATTTTTCATGACAAAAAGACTGACGTTTGTCTTGAATGGCTTTATTCTTCTCTCTTTAAACATGCTTTTCGATGTCTCCTTTTTTTTCCTTGGATAATATGTAAGGTAGAACTCATCACTTATGGGAAGAGGGTTATAGTCAAATAGTATACTGTATTAACATATTAAGATATTTAAAATTCAATCCAGGCATCAATGATACTATTTTTGGAGACAGGGTTTTGCTCTGTTGCCCAGGCTGGAGTGCATTATCATAGCTCACTGCAGCCTTGAATTCCTGGGCTCAAGTGATCCTCCTGCCTCAACCTCCTGAAGTGCTGGGATTACAGGCATGAGCCACCATACTCAGCCTGAGGATTACTGTTAATTTCCTTAAATCATCTGATAATGGTCTTGTGAGTTTGTAGGAGAATATGCCCACTTTTAAAAGATGCATACTTTATTATTTGAGGGTGAAGAGTTAGGATGTCCACATTTTCTTCAAATGGTTCACCTAGAAATACAGATAGTGAGCAAACATGGCAAAATACTAACAATTGTTGAACCTAGGTAGTGATTATATGGGTGTTTGTAATAGTTAATTTTGTTTTAAGTTTACTGGGGCACAGGGTGCCTGACATTTGGTTAAACGTTATTCAGATGTGTCCGGGAAGGTGCTTCTTGATGAGATTGACATCCGAATCAGTAGACTTAGTAAAGCAGACTGCCTTTCCTAATGGGGTGGGCCTCATCCAATCATTTGAAGGCCTGAGTAGAACAAAAGGCTGAGTAAGAGGAAACTCCTCCTGCCTGACTGCTTTTAAGATGGGACACTGTTTTTTTTCTGCCTTCAGACTCAAACTGAAACAGCACTTGCAGGGATCTCAGTCTGCCTGTGTTCAGACTGCAAATATCCATTAGCTTTCCTGGGTATTCTCTTCTTCACTGCAGATCTTGGGACTTGTCAGTCTTCATAATTGCATGAGCCAATTCCTTATGATAATTCTCTTTGGTATATTTAATGAAATATATATATGTAATATATAGACATATAAAGCACACCATTAAAATATATAACTTTGCAGGCATAGGATAAATATTTTGACTAAATACACTGTTTTTTTTTAAAGGTGCTATGTAGCATCAACTCAATTATCCACAATCCAAGAGCTCCAGTAATAATTTATAAACAGAGCAAAGGGGGATCCCAAAATTTTAATAAAGATCTTGTTCAAGATTGTGGATTTGAGCATCTTGTTCCCATAATAGAAATGTGGGCAGATCAGCTGACATCCCTAAAGGTAAGGGGTTGAATATTATTTATATGCTTTGAATATCTATTAAACTCTATGTGCTTTATTAATATGACTTAATTTGGGGTGAAAATTAAATAGAGCTTAACTTTTGTGTTAACTGTAAAGATGAAAAAGCTTATCTAAAACGGAAATCTTCCTATTTACATATCTGTTTTAGGTACTGTCTATTTGATGTTGTCATTATTGTAAGCTTTACCTCCTCTAAGGTTCTACCAGACAAGAAATTTTTGGGCTAATGCCCTTATTGAGAATCTGTAGTGGATCCACATTGTACTTCTAGGCCCTTCCCTATTCTACCTTCATCTGCCTCCTGTTGCTATCACGATGCCACGATTTTCTTGGCGCTTATTCCTCCTCAGATATAATGTCTTATCCTTTATTTCATTATAATTGGGGATATTTTCTCCCTCTTCACACTTTATTTTCTGTCTCTCAGAACTGAGCTTATCTTCATCTCTGCTTATTCTCAAGAACAAATAGTAACTCTATCTTTCCCTATCCTATTTTTTCGTGGAAGACTACATTTTATTTACTTTATAGAGCTATTGTGTGTTTATTGCGTAGCTTCAGGTTTTTTCAGTTTTTGTTAACTAGTTTGCTGAAAAGTAAATAGTTGAAATTAGTAGCATTTAACTTCTTTGTCCTTTAAACTTTAGATTTCTTAGTAACTAATATAATACATAGCATATGTCTGTTACTGAAAACCTGATTCAATGACAGTGTTTGCCACAGAAGTCCTATTACATGAAGTACAAATAATGCAGAAGATATCTGTTAAGAATGTATAAGCTCCATGAAGACAGTGTTTTGTCTTATTTGTTCTCTGGCACATCCCCAATATCCTCCTGATGCATGAGTGCGCAATTAATATTTGTTAAACTAATAAAGCAGAATAATATATTCCAAGACAACAAAATTGGGAGTGGTGATGTTAATTTTTTAAAAATTTCTTTTTATATAATTTTTTTTAATTTATAAAAATTTTCCTTCTTATATAGGGCTCAGACAGAGCTATACAATACATAGACATTTTGATTGAGTGACAATGCTGGATTAATATACTTACTTTATAGGCTGGAGTCCCTCCACTCTGTATCTCAGAAGAGGGTAAAATAATTAGTAATTGTGTAAATCATTGTATTTCCTCAATCGGTGCCCGTCAGAGGGTTCTCCCAGTAGGAGGGAACAGTGCTGACTCTACCTTTGTCTTTCTCAGAAGGGATGGACTAGAAAAGGCCCTAAGACTAGAGACGAAAAAGACAAAGGGAAGAATCACATTAATGGATACTTACTGTTCATTTGCCATGCTAAGCCATTATGGGATAAACACAAGATTCAGACTAATTAGACAAAATATACTAAAAAATATGAAACAACATTTAATCATTTATAATATCATTAAAAGAAATTAGTGACATAAAAATCAATTACCTGTGATTAAGTTCTAAGTGAGTGATGCAGATAACTTGTGCTCTAGAGTCTGGAGGAGAAAGAGAACACTTTGATTATAGCCCCCAAGAAAGGCTTTGCCATGGTGGTGAGTTCTTGCTATTGTATAGTTTTCTGAGTGGGAGGAGGCAGGAATTTGCTTTATATTAGAATATTCTGAGGGCACCTAAGAGGAACTTATTAGGAATTAGTTACTCTGCCATTGAAGTAACTCATGGATTTTGAGCAGTGCCTCAGATATTAATAATACTACAGTTTTAGGGTCCAAATTAAGAAACTACATGAGATTCTCCGAGGTCTCTTATCAAAGGTTATTTATAACGTAGCAACCTCTACGTTTGGGACAACTATCTTCCCAAATTAGTTTTTTTCCCTTAGGTTAAATTTGGCTTTAAAAAGTAGGATAGGTGTGAGGGATGAATGGATAAGCAAAATGTGGTATATACATACAGTGCCATATTATTCAGCCATAAAAAGGAAAGAAATTCTGACCCATGCAACATGGGTGAACATTATGATGACATTATGCTAAGTGAAATAAGTCAGTCACAAGAAGATTCCACTTACATAAGATACTTAGTGAAAATCATAAAGACAAAGTAGAGTGGTGATTACTAGCGGGAGGAGGAAATGGGAAGTTGCTGTTTAAAGGGTGTAAAGCTTCAGTGTTACAAGATGAAGAAGTTATGGAGATGGATGGTGGTGTTGGTTACACAACATTATGAACATTTTTAATAACACCGAACTTACATTTAAAACTGGTTAAGATGGTGAATTTTATGTCTATTTTACTAGTTTTAAAAATTGGAAGAAAAGAAAGCTGGGAAAGACATGGAGCCAGCTGCCTCCATCTTTCTGTCTTTTCCCTCCTGCCTTTCCAAGAAAGTGAACTACAGATGTTATAGCTTCCCCCAACCCAGTACACTCTTGAATACTTTGACTTTCCTATTCTCCAGTGCTTCAGAGGCCAGACATACATGGTAGGCCGGCCCATGGTAGTACTTCTACGTCTCCACAACTAGGCAATGTAAAGAACCTAGGAGACCCTCATATTTTTCAAAGCTTACTTGATGAACTGCTACAACCATCCTCTCACTGCTTAGGAGACCAGAACATCTTTTTCTTAGCTTTGTAATACTCTTTTATTCTGAAGCAAAAATGTATTAGATTGGGTGTGCTTTTTTCCATAAATTACTTTATAAATGTGCCTTGTAGCTGGAGCATTGATTAATAAAGGGGTCATTATGCTGTTGCTTACTGACTTTTTTTTCCTCCCAAATTCTAGTGGCACTGATTGTAAAACATTCATTTGACACAGAATGTATTGCTGTGAATTACTAAAATAGGTAACTGTCTTCCTACCAAACGAAAGGTTAAAGATACCAATATGTGAAGTGTGAGCCTTAAGTGGAGAGTGTCAAGTGAAGTACTAAAATAAGTTCGAAAAAGGAAGAATTTCTTGTACTTCTTTCTGTTCTCTAGAGCTGTGCTGTCTTGTATGGTAGCCTCTAGCTGTATGTGGTTATTGATCTCTTGAAAGGTGGCTAGTCCTAATTGAGATGCGTTAGAAGTATAAAATATACACTGGATTTAGAAGACTTCATATGGGAAAAATTGAAATATTGATTTTATATTGAAATGATAATATTTTGGATATATTGGGTTAAATAAAATATTACAGTTAATATCACATGTTTCTTTTCACTTTTCATACTATGGCCCTAGACAACTTAAAATTACTGTGGCTCACATTACATTTCTTTTGGATAGCATTGTTCTAAAGGACTAAGCACTGTTCCATACATATATGAATTGAGTATCCCTTATCTGCAGTGCTTGGGGCTAGATTAAGAATTTTTTCAGATTTTGGAGTATATGCCATTTGAGCATCCCTGATCCAAAAATCCAAAATTCAGAATGCTCTAATGAGCATTTCTTTTGAGTGTCATGTTGCTCAGAGTTTCAGATTTTAGAGCATTTCAGATTTTTGGATTAGGGTTCAGTAAGTATTTGTCGACTGACCAGTCTAGAATGCTAAACTTCCAGTAGCCTTGCCCATTGTGCACAGTTTAAAACCACTTAGGGCATCACAGCTAGGACAAGAAAACAGAGTATTGTAAAGTAGAATACATTTAGAGAACCTTTCACATTGAAAACCTGCCTGGAGGTACATGTTATAACATTATGCTAAGTGAGAGAAGCCATTCATAAAAGACTGCTTATTGTATAATTCCATTTATGCAAAATGGCCAGAATAGGCAAATCCATAGACACAGAAAATAGTTTAGAGGTTATCCCCTGGAGCTGTGGGAAAGGAAAAATGAGGAAGGAAGGACTGTGAGTGGGTCTGAGATTTCTTTTTGGGGTAATGGATATGTTCTGAAATTAGATAGTGCTGATGTTTGTACATGTGTGAAAATATTAAAACTGAATTGTATACTTAATGAGGGTGAATTTTATGGTATCTGAACTACATTTCAATAAATCTGTTATTCAAAACTAAAATACAAGGGCAAGTTTATTCTTTATGTATCAACAATTCAAAATAACAAAATAACATGAAACAATAATAAATAATATAAAATTACTTAGAGCACCCAAATGCAGAATAATCAATATGTAATGTTTTCTGTAAAGCCTATGTTTACCTGGAGAAACCTAATTTTAACTGACTTGTTCTAAATTGGTAATAGTGTTATTAAAAAATACCAATGATGGTTACATATATATATATTTTTAACCTGCCTATATAATGTTTTATTAATTTTATAAAATACATAAAACTTATAATTTTATTAATTGTGTTATATTACTATAGAAATTATTTAAATCAATAATACCATATAGTTTCTTTTGTTATAAAGGATTTGTATAAGTCCTTGAAAACACTATCTGCAGAACTGGTACCTTGGCATAATCTGAAGAAGCAGGATGCAAATGAAGGTATCAAAGTTGAAGATTTGTTATTTATAGTAGATACTATGTTGGAAGAAGTTGAAAATAAAGAAAAGGTAATAATACTTACATAAATGGTCACATTCTAATGTACTCTTATCTTAAAAATTGATAATTTGATGTGGATATTAATATTTGTTCTACAAGAGTTCTGTTTTTCTTTTAAAAGTTTTTATTTGGGATTATTTTAAGATATGAACTCTTTCTTTTTTACCTCTCTTTTGGACAGGACAGCAATATGCCAAACTTTCAAACTTTGCAAGCTATTGTCTCTCACTTCCAAAAATTATTTGATGTGCCTTCTTTAAATGGAGTCTATCCTCGAATGAATGAAGTTTATACTAGGCTTGGAGAAATGAACAATGCTGTGAGAAACCTCCAAGAACTCTTAGAATTAGGTGATGACCTAATTTGTCATTTTTGGCCCCCATTTAAGAATTGTTTTTAATAAATTAACAAAAAGTAGATAAAATTTTTCTTAAGTAAAAAAAATTGAGGATAACTGAAGCATAAAATGTTTGATGTATGTAATTTTGGAAATTTTCTGTTGAAATATCCTTTTATTTCTCTTTTGCAGATAGTTCATCTTCATTGTGTGTGTTGGTAAGCACTGTTGGAAAACTCTGTAGGCTGATTAATGAAGATGTGAATGAGCAGGTTATGCAGGTATTAGGACCTGAAGACCTCCAGAGGTACTCATTTCAAAAGTTTACAGAGTATCATCCAGAATGGCCAGGTGTGGTGGCACACACCTGTAGTCCCAGCTACTTGGGATGCTGATGTGGGAGGATCACTTGAGCCCAGGAGTTTAAGTCCAGTCTGGGCAACATAGTGACAGCCTGTCTCTAAACAATAAAAGAAAAAATAAGTATTGTCCAGAATTCATGGAGGGGTGAAATTAAAGACTTTCAAAACTCATTTACCTTCCCTATTTGGAATAGCATCTTTTCTCTGTGTGTGTTTGTGACTGTAGGCACACACCACCATGCCCAGCTAGTGTGTGTGTGTGTGTGTGTGTGTGTGTGAGTGTGTGAGTGTGTGTGTGCACGTGTGCAGGTAGAGAGACAGACAAGTTTTCACCATATTGCCCAGACCAGTCTCAAACTCCTGGGCTCAAGCGATCTGCCTGCCTTGGCCTCCCAAAGTGCTGAGATTACAGGTGTGAGCTACTGTGCCCAGCCTTGGAATAGCATCAATTTTTTTTTTTTTGAGACAGAGTTTCGCTCTTGTTGCCCAGGCTGGAGTGCAATGGCGCGATCTCGGCTCACCGCAACCTCTGCCTCCTGGGTTCAGGCAATTCTCCTGCCTCAGCATCCCGAGTAGCTGGGATTACAGGCACGCGCCACCATGCCCAGCTAATTTTTTGTATTTTTAGTAGAGACGGGGTTTCACCATGTTGACCAGGATGGTCTCGATCTCTTGACCTCGTGATCCACCCGCCTCAGCCTCCCAAAGTGCTGGGATTACAGGCTTGAGCCACCACACCCGGCCTGGAATAGCATCTTTTAAACAAGTTGACAACCTAAGATAATCTCACACCCTTTGGGACGAGAAAATGCCAAGTATTTAAAAAATAAAAATAGATTGTAGGGCTTATAAAGGTCAGGAACTCTTCAGCATAATCCTGTTCTCAGGAAATATTATATATGGAGAAGTTCAAACCTTGTCAGCAACTTTATGTAGTTCTGATCATATCAATAAGTCCTATTTTTAGGACCCTACTATAGACCACTGAATACTCATTAATAGTATATTTATTATTTGATTAGAAGATAAATGTTAAGGATGTTTTTAAAAGACTAGGCATGTCTAACATAAAACCTGGTTTGTTTATTTGTTTATTTTTTGAGACAGAGTCTCACCCAGGCTGGAGTGCAGTGGCACCGTCTCAGCTCACTGCAACCTCCACCTCCCAGGTTCAAGCAATTCTCATGCCTCAGCCTCCCGAGTAGCTGGGATTACAGGCATGTGCCACCACCTCTGCTAATTTTTGTATTTTAGTAGAGGCAGGGTTTCACCATGTTGGCCAGGCTGGTCTTGAACTCCTGACCTCAAGGGATCCTCCTGCCTTGGCCTCCAAAGTGCTGCTGCTGGGATTATAGGCGTGAGCCACTGCGCCCAGCCTGATATTTTTTCTTAACGTTTAATAGGATACTGGGTGTAAAAGCCAATTATTTTTAGAAAATGCTATAAAAGCATGGTGTCTCTAAGAAGGCTTGAGCTTAATGGGAAATTTGCCATGTTAAGAATGTTACATATAAATTTAACAAATTTTACATTGATAATGAAATGCTTTTTTAAGAAAAGTGATATTAGATTAACAAAGAACTCAGAAAGGAAGAACTGTAGCAAATGGTCATTAAGTTTATATTTAATTTGGCAACATAGTTTCTATTTTGAAAATGTTCTGTTTATGATCAGATGCAAGAAACTCAAGTTAGAAATTAGGTTTAAATTGTGCATTTTTTAAACAGCATTATCAACAAATTGGAAGAACATGAGGAATTTTTCCCAGCATTTCAGGCATTTACTAATGATCTACTTGAAATCTTAGGTAAGATCTCTGTTGGTGATGGTTAATTTCATAAATGTCAGTGCATTTAAGAGAAAGGTGTTCCTTAGTCACTGGATTAGTATTTTTACCTAGTGGTTGGAAACCACGAACAGTTCTGGAAACACATTCCTTACAGGCAGTTAGAGTTTGTTGGGATTACTCCACAGAACAGAAACACAGACTCTTAACAGAGATACCAATTGCCTTTGCTGGAGGACCTTATCATGAGAAATGGCATTACTCTGGCCATGCCTAGTTTAATCCTGGTTCTGTCATTGTCTAATGGGAAATATTGGTAGACTTTATGATCTTGGAAGGTCCTTCCTTTCTCTTTTTTTTCTTAAGATAGCACCTATCTACAAAATTTTTAAAATATACAAATAACATTTCCTCTCCGGTGGTAACATAAAGTCATAAATATCTATAGAAAGGAAAAGATGAAATGAAGTAACATAAAGTCATAAATATCTATAGAAAGGAAAAGATGAAATGAAGTAACATAAAGTCATAAATATCTATAGAAAGGAAAAGATGAAATGTTACACTTGTACAGACAGTCAGATTGAAGGCTTCATTAGTAATAGTGTCTCCTAAAAGAAAAAAACTTTGCTTAGGACTCATAAGATAAAATAGAGACCTTATCTAGCTTAAATGTAATTATATATGGCTATAAAATTAATTTATCTTACTATTAAGAACAATTTTTTTTAAGTTACTGCTATCAGGTAAGGAAGAAAAAAATTTTAAAGAACAATTTTTAAAGTTTTAAAGTGATTTATTCACTAGTGAATTCTTGTTTCTATATAGCTCATTTGAAAGATTTTTTTTTTTAAAGAATGGCTCTTTGCTTTTAGAAGAGGAGATGAAGCTTGGTAGGAAGATAAGAGAATGAGTAAATTAAAACTTGGTAAGAAAGTAAGTGAAAGATGTATCTAATTAGAATATATAGCCTAGTGAACATAAAGGAAGTTTTGTGACCAGTTTTATGTGCACTGGGGAAGCAAGGGAGACAATGAGTGGGCATGCTTTATTTAGGCTTGTTCACATATTTTAAAAGATCACAGCAAGTGAAAATGTAATTTGAAAGTGAAACTTGAGATGAGGTACGAAACTGTATAAGTGTGTTGCCGATATCCTGAAGAGCCTGGTTTCATAGAATAATATGATTCTACTTGCTTTGGGATGGCTATTAAGCAGTGATGTTCTCATCATTCATAAATATTTGGCACATGAATAAACATTTTAATAGGGTGTGCTGGTAACACTGATTTCAGAATGCTTCTATAGAAACTTCCTTTCAGATATTATGACACTCAGCATGGTTCATAAAGATCATCTGCTTCAGAAAATCAAGTTTCTCTGCAGATGAATTCTGTATTTTGGTCAAAGTTGAAATTCTGGGATTAAACATTATATTTAACATTGGTAAAGTTAAATCTGGCAAACATGAGGATTGTTTTTTGTTGTTGTTGTTACTAGGTGTCACTAAGCATGTAGGTACAGGGTGGTATATTGAGTAACAGATATGGAGTGTACCTTTAGTGATTTTTAAAAATCCATTCTTTTTCTCATATAAGTGGTGTGATTGTCTGAGGAAATCCCCATATCAGCCAAGGTCTTTGGCTGTGAGGTTCATTTGTAAGGCAGGTTTCTCATTTAGTGAGAAAACAGGTATAATTTCAGATTGGGTAGGAGGCAGAGTCAGGGAATAACTTGATCTTGTATCTTACCACAATGTAAGGGACGAAACAAATTCTCTGTTGTGGTTCGTTTATCTTGTTTCCTTTCCCATATCTCGATGCTTTATTAGTGGGTTCAGACAAGTATTCTGACTGAAGTCAAGAGCTTAAAGAACTAAATGAATAGTAGCAGAGCATGGGCTATGTGTTTAGGCTAAATGAAGAGCAACCAAGATCCAGCTAAGCAATGGAGAGAGTTGGAATCCAAGAAAGCATGTTTTCTGTAAAGGAATGTGTTTATTAGTAATGGCTTAACAGAATAAGCTAGAAAAAAATAGTAGGTATCTAGAGAACCCGCCATTGTGGATTACCTTAAGTAGGGCTGGGATCTGGATAAGGCTAGTTGGAATAAGATAGTCTTAGGAAGAAAAAAGCAAATTCAGAAAGAGCCTGTCAGAGAAGAACCTGTATTCATTTGTCTGGTAAGCTGGACCAAGCTAAGCTCTCTAATACATTGCACTTGAGGTTTGTACTCTGATAAGGCTCTCTTCTTGATTAGGCAGATACTTTTTTTTTTTTTTGGAGACATAGTCTTGCTCTGTCACCCAGGCTAGAGTGCAATGACACAATCTCAGCTCACTATAACCTCCACCTCCCAGTTCCAAGCAATTCTTCTGCCTCGACCTTCCAAGTAGCTGGGATTACAGGCACCCACTACCATACCCGGCTAAATTTTGTATTTTTAGTATAGATGGGGTTTCACCATGTTGGCCAGGCTGGTCTTGAACTCCTGACCTCAAATGATCCTCCTGTCTCAGCCTCCTGAAGTGCTGGGATTACAGGCATTAGCCACTGCACCTGGCTGGCAGATACCTTTCATTCTAAAATGTAAAGTGATCCACTACTGAGAAATCTTCCCAAGAAAATTAAAGAGGACAAGACTGTGTTCTATGAGAAGAAATTCCTAAGTCCTCACATGGAGACCCAGGGAGGAGGCGCCTCTACCTGAGATTTCATCATGTAGGTGCACCCGTGTAGTGATACAGATCTAATGAGATCTAATCCAAAATTTGGGCAGTTGGATCTGTTAATAAGGGCATGCTGCTAATGAAGGTAATACTAGAATCAGAGGGTACTTGTAGGTATGTGGTAGCTTTTATAAATAGAGCCACTGTGAAGCGTCTGTATCTGAATCAGTAATAATCTATCTTCACTATTGGAGAAAAACTTCATGTGCACAAAAGCACCATATTGTTGCCTTTATGTTTGAGGTTTGCCTTTGCATATAAGTTCTTATTTCATGTGAATTTATCCCTAGGAAAAGTTACTCTCTTTATTATTACTGTTTTGTATTACAGAAATTGATGACTTGGATGCCATTGTACCTGCAGTAAAGAAATTAAAAGTACTTTCATACTGAAAACAAATCATTTTTACTGTGTAAATTGTATTCTTAACATTTTGTATTTTGTAGAATTGATCTTTTGAGACCAGGGTTATAAAATGTATTTGCTCTCAGAATTCATCCCCTTCTTGGTATTGGGTTATTCTTTATCTATATAATTTTTATTACTTTTGAGATTCTTATACAGAAAATAGTTGCTAAGGTAAAGTAGTTAACTTAGATCCCTTCATTTCTTAAGCAATTATTTGGTGCTTAAAATTTAAGGTTGTTTTAGAGTGGAGTTTGTGAGTACAAGAGTTTGTGAGTACAGTCTCTCCCACGGGGAGAGATTGCAAGTAGTATGTTGCAATATTTTAAATTCAGGCTATAGTGATCTTTGGGCCATGGCAAAAGGAATGCCAAGGGCTCTCTTAAGTGTAGCTAGTATGAAGCTACTGCTCTCCTGGCAAGGATTAATTGGGACATTCGGTTAAGATAACCCTCATGGCAGCTGCCCTCTCAAAGCAGGAGGAAGAAAAGGAAGAAAGAAAAACTTTCATCATTTCTGTTAGGGTAGGAAATGGATCATGGGGTAAAATAGATGAGTACATAGAAGTCTCTCATTTAGAAAGTGTCTTTTTTGCAATTTTGATGTAATGTACTTTTTATAAGGACTTGAGCTCTCAAATAAAATTTATGTAAAGAATTTCCAAACATAAGTGTCCTCAGTGACTTACTTGTATATTATTCACAAATAACGAGTGATATTCTCTTTCTAGGCTGAAACTTCCTTGGGTAACTCGTACATCCTTGCTGCATTTTATGTAAGAGTACTTTACTTGCTGCCTTGTATTTATTCTATATTCTCAATATTTAGTCACATTTTCTTAAGGGTCAGTGTTCTGCCCCATACCCATGAGTACAAGCCACTTTGGACTATGCTTCCCCATTCTGTAAGTAGAAGGCCTAGGAAGATTTCTCTGTCATTCTTGTTGGTGGGCACATAGAATATTATAACACATTTCCAGGAAGCAGCATGGTGGAATGGTGAGTAAATGTCAGCAAACAGGCATCCACATCCTTGGTGTTGTGACCTTAGAGATCAGACATAAGATAATAGGCTCCTTCTAAATTTAAAATTCTTTGTCGTGATACTTTGCAGTTACATTTCTAAACACTAACTTAAAATTTGTGGAAGAACTTGTCTTGAGGGTTGGGTACAAAAAAGTGCTTGGATATTCAATAATGTAAACACTATGAATTGATTAAATTATTCTAAGAAATTGAAGGCAGGCCAAGATGGTGGAAGAGAAGCCTACAGTATTGATCCCCATGGCAGGAACACCAAATTTTAACAAGCGTCTACACACGGAAAAGCACCATCACAAGAACCAAGAATCAGGTAAGCAACCACAGTATTGGTTTTAACTTCATATTGCTGAAAGAGGCATTGAAGAAGGTTAGAGAGAAAGCTTTGAATCACTGATGTCACCCCTCCCTGTCTCCCTGGCAGTGGCTGCACTATGGGATCTGAGTCTGTGCATTTGGGGGAGGGAGAGCATAGCAGCTGGGGGACTTCACATCGAACCCAGTGCTGCCTTGTCATAGTGGAGAGTAAAGCCATGCTGGGCTAAGCCAGCACAAATGCACAGAGGGAGCATTTGGACAAGACCTAGCCAGAGTGGAATCGCCCATCCCAGCTATCAGAACTTGAGTTTCTTGGCAAGCTTTGCCACCGTGGGCCAAAGTGCTCTGGGGTCCTACATAAACTTGAAAGACAGTCTAGGACATAAAGACTGCAGTTAATTCCTAGGCAACTCTTAGTGCTGGGTGGGCTCAGAACCAGAGGACTAGGGTGTTACATGGTCTAGGGAGACACCAGCCAATGAAGCTAAGGGAGTTCTCATACCACTCCTCCCTCAACCCTAGGCAGACAGCAATGAAAGTGACTCTGCTTCTGCTTAAGGAAAGGAAAGCAAAGAGTAAAGAGGACTTTGTCTTGCATCTTGGATACCAGCTCAGCCACAGTAGGGTAGGGCATGGGGTAGAGTTGAAACGCCTCCATTCCAGCCCCTAGCTCACGAACATTTCTAGACATACCATGGATCAATAGGGAAGCCACTGCCTTGAAGGGAAGGACCTTGTTCTGGTGGGATTCATCACCTGCTGACTAAAGAGCCCTTGGGCCATGAATAACTGGCAGCAAGACCCAGATAGTTTGCTGTGGGCCTTGGGCTCTGAGACATGCTGACTTCAGGTGTGACCCAGCACATTCCCAGCTGTGGCGACTGTGATAAAAGACTCCTCTCGTTTGAGAAAAGCAGAGGGAAAAGCAAAGGGGACTTTATCTTGTCACCTTAGGTACCAGCTCAGCCACAATAGAGTAGAGCTTTTGGGGTCCCTGAATCCAAGCCTAGGCTCTTGGATAGCATTGCCTATTGGACCCTGTCCTGGGCCAAAGGGGAGCCCATTGCCCTTCAGGGTGAGTCCCAAGCCTGGCAGCATTCACCACAAGCTGGCTGAGGAACCCTTGGGCTTTAAGTAAACATTGGTGGTAGCCTAGCAGAACCCCCTGTGTGCCAGTGGAGATGATGGCCACAGGGAGAAGCTCTTCTGCCAATGGCAAGGGGAAGGAAGAGCAGGAAGGACTTAATATTGTGGTTTGAGTGCCAACTTGGCCACAGTAGAATAGAACATCAGGCAAAATTCTACGGTTTTTGACTAACCTCTGGCTCCCAGACAGCATCTCTGGACCTGCCCAGGGCCTAGAGAAACTTGCCACCCTGAAGCGTAAGACACAAACTTAGTTGGCTTCACCACCTTCTGATTGTAGAATTCTACAGCCTTGAGTGAATGTAGGTAGTAGTCAAGTAGTGGTTAGAGTGGGCCTTGGGCAAGACCCAGTGCTGTGCTGGCTTCAGGTCTGATCCAATGCAGTCCCAGTGGTGGTGGCCACAGGGGTCCTTGCATCGCCACAACCTAGTTCCACACAGTTCAGCACAGAGAGAGACTCCATTTGTTTGGGAGAAAGAAGGGAAAAGAATAGCCTGGTAATCCAGAGAATTCTTCCAGATCTTATCCAAGACCATCAAGGTGGTATCTCTATGAGTCTGCAAAAACCACAGCATTATTGGTGTTGGGCCCAAGTCCCTTTGAATACCTGGAAAGCATTTTTAAGAAGGATGGGCACAAACAAGCCCAGACTATAATAAATTCCTAAGTCTTCAATGCCCAGATGCCAGTGAACATCTACAAGCATCAACAGCATCCAAGACAACATGACCTCACCAAATGAACTGAATAAGGGATCAGGGACCAAGCCTGGAGAAACATGACCTTCCAGACAGAGAATTCAAAATAGCTGTTTTGAGGAAACTCAAATTTAAGACAACACAGAGAAGGAATTCAGAATTCTATCAGATAAATTTAACAAAGAAATTGAAATAAAAATAAACAGAAACTCTGGATTTGAAAAAAGCAATTGACATAATGAGAAATGCAGCAGCATTTCTTTTTTTTTTTTTTTTTGGGGGGGGGAGGAAGGCAGGAAGGAAGGGAATAAGGACGGTAGGGAGGAAGGAAGGGATGAAGGAAGGAAGGAAGGGAGGAAGCGGGGAGGGAGGGAGGGAGGGAGGGAGAGAAGGGAAGAAAGGAAATCAAGCAATGAAAGAGACATTGCCAACCTGGATCTAGAGGTTTACAAGTTGATTTCTTTTTTTTTGAGAGAAGGAAAGAAAAAAAAAATAAGTAAAGGAGAGGAAGAAAGAGGAAGAGAAAGAGGGAGAGTAAATGGAAATATTGCTTTATTTTGAAAAAAATTGGGTATTAATAATGGCCAATCAATGTTTCATTTAAACTAATGGGTAGGTGTGATGTGGTATTGACAAGAATGTATATTTTGTGTATTTGAAGTGGAGAGCTCTATAAATATTTATTAAGTTTACTTGTTCTGGATCTGAGTTCAAGTCCTTGATATCCTTATTAATTTTCTGTCTCATTGAATCTAAGTCTCCTATCTGGGTGTTAGGATCGTTAGCTCTTGTTGTTGCATTGATCCTTTTACCACTATATCTTTGTTGCTTTAAAATCTATTTTATCCGATACAAGAATTGCAACTCCTGCTTTTTATTTATTTATGATTTATTTTTGCTCTCCATTTGGTTGGTAAATCTTTCTCCATCCCTTTGTTTTGAGTCTTTGTGTATCCTTGCACGTGAAACAGGTCTGGATGTAACATGCCGTTGGGTTTTGGCTGTGTCTTTTGATTGGGAATTCAGTCAATTTAAATTTAGGGTTACTGCCATTTGATGTTGACTGGCTGTTTTATCCATTTGTTGGTGTAAAATTCTTCTTTATGTTGGTGCTCTTTACTTTTTGGTGTATTTTTAGAAAGGCTAATACTGGATGTTTCTTTCTGTGTGTAATGCTTCTTTCAGAAGCTCTTGTAAAGCAGGACTGGTGGTAATAAAATCTCTGAGTTCTTGCTTGTTCATAAAAGATTTTATTTTTCCTTCAGTTGTGAAGCTTAGTTTGGCTGGATATGAAATTCTGGGCTGAAGGTTCTGTTCTTTGAGGATGTTGAATATTGGCCCCCACTCTCTTCTGGCCTGTAGAGTTTCTACTGAGAGATCTGCTGTAAGTCTGATAGGCTTGCCTTTGTAGGTAATCTGACCTTTCTCTCTGGCTGCCCTTAGTATCCTCTCCTTCGTTTCAACCCTGGTGAATCTAACGATTATGTGCCTTGGGGTTGCTCTTCTTGAGGAATATCTTTGTGGTGTTCTCTGTATTACCTGGGGTTGAACGTTGACCTGCTTTTCTTTTCTTCACGTTTTATTTCATTAAGTTGGACTTTGACCTCTGATATCCCTTCTTCTGCTTGAACAATTCGAGTGTTTAAACCTGTGCATACTTCTCGGAGTTCCTGTATTGTATTCTTCAGTTCCATTAATTCACTCATACTCCTCTCTAAGTTGTCTATTCTCAATAGGATTTCATCAAACCTTTTTTCAAAGTTCCTAGTTTCTTTACGTTGGGCTACAACATGTTCTTTTAACTCACCGAAGTTTGTTATTATCCATTCCTTGAAGAGTGATTCTGTCATCAGGAGGCGCTTGTTCTCCATCAAGCCTTGTTCCATTGTCGATGTGGAACTGTGATCATCTTTAGAGGGAGAGGCGTTCTGACTTTGAGTATTCTCAGCTTTTTTACGCTGGTTTCTTCCCATCATTGTAAATTTATCCTCCTGTCGTCTTTGAAATTACCAACTTTCAGATTAGGTCTCTTGAGTGGACGTCCAGGTTGTTAGTTCCTAGGGCCAGAGCAGCAGCGTTAAAACTGATGGTGCTTTTCTGCCCAGGATTCTCCTGTCAGGCTTCCTTCTTGTTTCCATAGTAGGTGACTCTGCCTTCCCGGGGCTCCAAACCTCGGTCAGAAGGGGAACCGGTCCTGTTTACTCTGCGCTGAGCGCTGCCGCGTCGAGGTGCCAGCGGAACCGCTGCGCCGACCACGAGAGTCGCGCTGGCGACTCGTGTGTTTCCACCACTGGGGGATCTTCTGCTCCGTGAGCGACCAGACTTTGTCTGAAAGTGTGGCGTCCTCTAGTTCTCCGCGCCTTCCCTGAGAGCTGCAATCCCGGGATGTTAGCGATCGGCCATCTTGGATCGTTCCAGCAGCATTTCTTTATAGCAGAATTGATCAAGCAGAAGAATTAGTGAGCTTGAAGACAGGCTATTTGAAAATACACAGGGGAGAAAAAAGAATAAAAAAAGAAGTATGCCTGCAAGATCTAGAAAATAGCCTCAAAAAAGCAAATCGGCACATGCGGTGTCGCCGCTGCTGCCTTCTGCTCACTCCAGACCCAGCGTCTGCCGTCATGGCTCCTGGCCAGCTCACCTTGTTCAGGGTCTCTGACAAAACAGGCCTTGTGGAATCTGCAAGAAACCTGACCTCTTGGTTTGAATCTGGTCATTTCCAGAGGGACTGCAAAAGCTCTCAGGGATGCTGGTCTGGCAGTCAGAGATGTCTCTGAGTTGACAGGATTTCCTGAAATGTTGGGGGGACGTGTGAAAACTTTGCATCCTGCAGTCCATGCTGGAATCCTGGCTCACAATATCCCAGAAGATAATGCTGACATGGCCAGAGTTGATTTCAATCGTAGAAGAGTTGTTGCCTGGAATCTCTATCCCTTTGTGAAGATAGTGGCTTCTCCAAGTGTAACTGTTGAGGAGGCTGTGGAGCAAATTGACATTGGTGGAGTAACCTTACTGAGAGCTGCAGCCAGAAACCATGCTCGAGTGACAGTGGTGTGTGAACCTGAGGACTACGTGACAGTGTCCACAGAGATGCAGAGCTCCAAGAGTAAGGACACCTCCTTGGAGACTAGACAGTTAGCCTCGACAGCATTCACTCATATGGCACAACACGATGAAGCAATTTCAGATTATTTCAGCAAACAGTACAGCAAAGGCATATCTCAGATGCCCTTGTGGAATGGAATGAACCCTCATCAGACCCCTGCCCAGCTGTACACTCTGAAGCCCAAGCTTCCCATCACAGTTCTAAATGAAGCCCCTGGATTTATAAACCTATGCGATGCTTTGAATGCCTGGCAGCTGGTGAAGGAACTCAAAGAGGCATCAGGTATTCCAGCTGCTGCATCTTCAGCTGCTGCTTCTTTCAAACATGTCAGCCCAGCAGGCGCCGCTGTTGGAATTCCACTCAGTGAAGATGAGGCCAGAGTCTGCATGGTCTTTGATCTCTTTAAAACCCTTACACCCATTTCAACGGCATATGCAAGAGCAAGAGGGGCTGATAGGATGTCGTCATTTGGCGATTTTGTGGCATTGTCTGACGTTTGTGATATACCAACTGCAAAAATTATTTCCAGAGAAGTCTCTGATGGTATAATTGCTCCAGGATATGAAGAAGCCTTGACAATACTTTCCAAAAAGAAAAATGGAAACTACTATGTTCTTCAGATGGACCAGTCTTACAAACCAGATGAAAATGAAGTTCAAACTCCCTTCAGTCTTCATTTAAGCCAGAAGAGAAATAATGGTGTCATTGACAAGTCATTGTTTAGCAATGTTGTCACCAAGAATAAAGATCTGCCAGAGTCCACCCTCCAAGACCTCATCGTAGCCACCATTGCTGTCAAGGACACTCAGTACAACTCCATGTGCTACACCAAAAATGGGCAGGTTATCGGCATTGGGTCATTTTCAGTTCTTGGCTACTGTGAGTAGAGCTGCTATCAATGTGCATTGTCATGCGCTTGTATGCAAGTTTTCTAGAGTATATATCCAGAACTGATAGATACACAACTGGGTCATAGGGAAAACACAGGGAAATGTGTATGGCCATATAGGCCATGTACTACTGTACAGCTTGAGGCAGTAGCATTTCTATTGATAACAATGTGAGTGAAGCTTCTGGAGGCATACAGAGTGGTGACTTTGGTAGGGAATTTGTATCTTCAACTTTAGGAGAAAACGAAAAACTATTTTCCAAAATGGTTGTACCCATTTATACTCCTCCAACAGCAATGTATGAAACCTCCCACTTTTCCACATCCTTTTTGCCAATGTATAGAGCTATTATTGTGCTTTTAATATTTATTCCCTGATTACTAATGAAGTTAAGCAACTTTTGTTTATTGGACATTTGCATGTCATTTTTGAAGTGCTTCTATCTTTTGCCCATTTTTCTATTGGATTGACCTAGTAATTTGTAAAAGTTACTTATATATTCTGGACATGAGCCCTTTGACAGTTATGTGTATTACAAATGTCTTCTTCCATTCTGTGAAATATCTTTCCATTTTCCCATAGTGTTTTAAGAGATGGGATCTCACTGTGTTGCCCAGGCTGGCCTTGAACACCTGGGCTCAAGTGATCTCTCCCACCTTAGCCTTCCAAGTAGTTGGGACTACAAGTGTGTGCCACCACACTGGGCTATAGTTTATTTTTATGAACAGAAATACCTAATTTTCATGGAGAGATGTATGGGTCTTTTAGTTAGTGCTCTTTGCATCTTACAAAATCTTGCTTCAGTCACAAGTTGTGAAATTATTCTCCTGTATTATCTTACAGCTGTAGTTTTGCTTCACACACTTAGTTTAATACAACTGGAGTTTATTGATTTTTGAATGTGATATAAAGGGCCATTTCATATTTTCTCACATGAATATCCAATGTCTCAGCACCATTTATTGAAAAGTCTATTCCCTTTGTTCACAGTGCTGCCTCTGTCATAAATTGAGTATCTATATGTGAATGGGTCTGTTTCTGGGCTCTTCTCTGTTCTTTTGGCCCAGTTGTCTCCCTGCATTAGTACCACCCTGTCTTAGTTATTACAGCTTGAAAATGAACCTTGGTGTTCAATTGAAGGCTTTCTACCCTTTGTAGTTCCATGTAAATGGAATCTGCCTATCAAGTTACACATACATACAACCTGTTCGTTTATTGGGCTTTCATTAAATATACATATTAATTTGAAGAGAAATAGCATTTGTTGGGTTTTCCAACCTCAGACATGGCATAGCTCTCCATTTGTTTATATTTACTTTAACATTTCTTTAAAAAGTTTTACAGTTTTCCTATAGGGATTGTTGAATGTATTCATATAATCTGATATTTTTGTGTAGTTTTTATTTTCTGTTAGGGAACAGAACTACAGTTTTTTTAACATTGATTCAGGCAACCTTGCTGAAGACTTTCTGGTTAATTCTAGCAATTTAGATGATCTTGGATTTCATGCTCATGATCATATCATCTGCACATAAAGGTTTTGGTTAGATATACCTATTTTTGCTCTATTACTCAAGCTGCAATATAGTGTTGAATAGAAGTGGTAACAGGAAGCAGCTGTTCCTTAATATGATGCTTGCTGCCATTAATATAAACAAATCTAAATGATTCTTGGATGATCTTTTCATGTTTTTACTTTCAGCATTTCCGTGTTTGACATGAACCACTTATAAACAGCATGTAACTGCTTTTTACTTTTGTTCCATTTGACAGTCTAGATTTTGTGTTTATTGTAATTACAAATATATGTAGAAGTCTTTTGACCATCTTTTTTATTGTCTAATTATGTCTTTCTTTGTATTCCCGTTTTTGCAGGGTTGATTTTTCTTTACAACTTTTTCTCCTCCACTGCTAATTTGGAAGTTTTACATATCAACTTTATTGGCTTTCTACTATTACTTTATTTTTATAGTTATTTTGCAATTTTGAACACATACCAAGGAGACAGAAACCATATTGCACAGGTAACCAAACATGAAAAACTTAATCACATTTTACTAGTTAGCAATTCTTGTGTTTACTACTAAAAGGGGTAGAAGTGGACTCTAGGGGATACAGAATATCAACTTCGGGATACAGATGCTTTCCCCCAGGGGTAAAGGAGAGAGAACAAGAAAGGGAGTTAGAAACTAGCTAAGTGCCTCCCTACCAGGCTGAGATTTAGACTTCCTCTGGCTGCCATAGGAACATGCAACCCATTTGTGGCTAAGAAACTTGCCAAAAGGTGCTGTCTGCTGATAAAACATAAAGACCATGATTCTTAGGGCATGAGCCAAGGGTAAACTGTGGGGTGTGCTTAGGTAATTGAGAACATCTCCATACGCCAATGGAAAACAGCAGAACAGCCTCTTCTTCCTGCTGTAGCCTTGCAGTGTCCTTCCATCGCCCCCTATTGGCAAAGCCCGCTGAGAAGTGGGGAAAGGAGACAGACATCAATTTGAAGCTGAGAGGTAATGAATTTGTTACTGACTCGCAGAGAGTTATATTTTTAAGATAAATATCTTTAGCTTCCTAAATAACGTATGGTCTTGAATACTTTCTTCTTCTGAATCGCCCTAGCTGCCTCTTCTTAGTACTAGCATTTTAGTTCTACTGTATTTCTGAACACAAAATCTTTGCTTATTTGTTTATATCTTGTGAACAATCAAAACTTACTTAGGTTTGCCAGAGTATTTTATGGATTTCTTTGCTCTCCACTGCTTCTCCTTACTGGTACATTTCCTTCTTGCTGAACTATATCTATGGCTATTTTTCAGTTTGATATTTCTGCACGTTTAATATTTTTTTAGTCTGTTTTTGTTTTGTGTCATAATTTTTGCCCGTGGGTTTCCCTTTAGTGACAGCTATCTGCTGCAGTTGTCATACATGTGCCCTGGATGTGAGTGGCAATGCTGTGGGGCCACTTTTATGGTTGCCTCCATCGAGGTTTCACAGGTTCCAGGTTCTAAACGAATATTCACATTCCTTCCTAGGTTTGGGGGTTTCTGTACCAAGTTGATGTTAACTTCAGACCCTATGCCCCTGCATATTAGCTGATTGTTTGCACCCACTGCTGAAAACCAAATCTTGTCCTCAGTGGCAGCCAAGGTATTAACAACTTTTCAGGCTCCCTGCCCCTTACACAGGGCCTGTCTATAGAACCTTGGCTCCTATCTGGTGGTATTAAAATTCTGGTTCCCTTCTACATTTTAACTCCTTTGGACTATCACCAGTAATTTACCTGTGTTTCCTGACAGGTTAAGAATGGTTTAATTAACCATGTTTAAAATAAATGTTTATGGTTTAAGTTTGGAAGAGGAGGGGTAGGTTTTCCCTTGTCTGCCATTTTGATTAGCTGTTGTTTTATGGTTGCTAATGTTTCAGATGTGGCTATGATACATTTCCTTATTTCTCTGGTGCTTCTCTATTTTCAAGGCACTTTTCTATTTAGGGAGCAATTAGAATGCCATCATGAGGCAGACAGGGTAGGCATCAATGCTCCATTTTATTATGAGAATTTTCCATATAAAATAGAAACCTCAGCAGAAACAAATTTCACCATGGATCATCTATGTACTTAACACAGTCTTGGATGATGAGGGTAAAAAAGAATTCAAGTAGCTTATAGTTCAATTGGAGAGTAAACAAATACTAAATACCAAATATAAGTAGTTGCTTTGCATGTAACCTTAGCAGGTGCCTAATAGTGTTTTTTTTTTTTGAGATGGAGTCTCGCTCTGTCATCCAAGCTGGAGTGCAATGGCATGATCTCAGCTCACTGCAACCTCCGCCTCCCGGGTTCAAACGATTCTTCTGCCTCAGCCTCCCAAGTAGCTGGGACTACAGGCATGCACCACCAAACATGGCTAGTTTTTGTATTTTTACCATTTTGGCCAGGCTTGTCTCAAACTCCTGACCTCATGAGCTGCCCGCCTTGGCCTCCTGTAGTGCTGGGGTTATAGGCATGAGCCACCCGGCCCAGCCCTAATCAACATTTTTTTAAAACTTGGTGTTATAAAGGCTGTGAACTATTAAAATGGAAAATACTCAGTATCAACAGTAAATGCTACAGGCAGTGGGAAGAGGTCATTTCAGTATGGATTGACTTAATAGAGGAGATAGGCTCGAGACAGGACTTGAATAGGCAAAGCATAGTACTTGGACTATTCTGGAATAGAACATTTGCACATGAATAAGGTAGCAGAAAACGGGAATAAGAGTAACATAACAAAATCTTTGCTTTAGAATGTTGTCCTGATTCAGAAAAGCGGCAGTGAAGGCAGTGGCAGACAGAAAACTGATGGCAGGTAGTGTTGTCTGAGTCGGTAAGATGTTTTTGTAAGATGAGGTCCAGGAATTAGAGGGTATGGGAAGTATATTTGGTCTTGTAAAGTCTGAAATGTAAAAAAGGCACTTAAGTATAATTTATGTATTTTGCTTTTAACATGTTATTTAGGTAAACCAAACATCTCTTTAGAAAAGTAGAATAGCCTAAACTTATCTGAAAGAGATATAGAAAGCTCCCTTTTCTCCAATGGTGACACTCTCTTTGCTATGAGAGTCAGACGGAGACCTGGGTTTGGAACTTGGTTTGCATTTTCCTATGGAGTTTTGGCCCTTAGACCACACAAGAGTATTTAACTCGAGGTATTTTAATATATAACATTTTTGCCACTAGGGAAATACATTTCCTCCAGGTCAAATAAAAGAACAAATCTCCAGGCAGACAAGTACCAGAGGTGGCAGCCAGAAGGGCTTTGGCAGTGTTAGCTCTTGGCAGTTCTGAGTTTCCCTTTAACCAGTCACTGCCCGGGAATGCTGGTAGTGGCTCCAGAAACAGACCTGCCCTAGCCCCTATGCCAGGGGCAGGACACTTTCTGATACACATATACATTCAGGCAAGTCCTAAATCAGATGGTATATAAATTACCTACTGAAAGTGAAAAACCACCACTGAGGTTTGGATAATTTAGTAGGCACAAATATATCATTTCTTTCTGGACTTGAACAAAAAAAAATCCAACAAAAAGTAGTTCTTGCTTTTATATAACCTCTTCCTTATGTTATTCAGTCATGCAGTTAAATTCCACACAAGAACGTATGTATGTAATTTCAAGTAGTTGTTCTGATTTAAATGACAAAATATACATTTGATGTATGTGATCCAAAAGAAAAAATATATACATATACACATTTTAACATAAAGGTGAATGATAACGATTCTCATCGTCAGCTTCTGGGCTCTCCATTTGGAGTCAGCTCATACCTGTAAGACAATTAGGTTTGGACTTAACGTTAGTAGTGACAGTGTGTTGTGGTAACAGGACAAACTGCCATTCCTGCCTGCCTGGGCCTCTGTGAGACCAGCAGAACCTGACTCTCTAAGTTGGCCAGCCAGGGTTCAGGGTTAAGGCTAGAGTTTACAGGTGTCTTTTAGGGTGTTGGTGAGATCTGCAGGCAGTAAAGCCTTAAATAAAGGTATTCATGTCTCTCCCTTCTTGATAACCAAAGGAGCTGAAATAGTACTGAAAGGGAAAACTGTCTTGAATAGCAGGCTAACAGTGATAAAATGAGAGGGGACACTTACCATTGTGAAAAGCCCCTAATCAGATCTTCTTTTGATAAGTCAATCAGTACCTAAATAAACACAAATAATTAGTTCCCATCCAAAACACTACATTAAGGAAAGGAATTGGGATAAAGTGAATTGATCATAGTCTTCTTGGTGTGTCAAATATCTCTTGTACTTACTTTTCCTAACTCCTTTCTTCTGTGCGAGCCTAGTGGCCTACTATTTTTCACGGCAACATCAAGTGACCTCTTCTTTACTTCTTCCATGGGAACAAAAAATTCAAATCTTTAAAGAAGCAAAAGTCAGGAAGTTAGAATTTCATATTTCATTCAGTTTTCTTGAAAATCTAAAGTGCTTCATTCATTTCCCTACTAAAACAGATGATAACAGGCTATTAGGAGCACCTAGAGCAGGACTGGCTTGTAAGTACTCACAGTGTATCATTACTACAGATAATCACTGTCCTGTGTTGTTCACAAAACCCAGAAATACTAAGAGGCTGTTTGCCTAGAATGCCTCAGACTATTGTGGCTTAGTTGGCATCTTTCTTTCTCCAATTCTTCCCTGGCTACCAGTCTTTTAGCTGGCTCTCCTCACCCCGAATAGTACCTGCTCATAGGACTGCCTCAACCCCTTTCTCAGTGTTCTCTCACCAGCTAAGGGCCAGAACACTGAACAGTTAGGTTTGCTCTAGTTGCATGGAAAATAGTGGCCACCTCCTGTGGAGTAAGGCAGAGGAAACCTCTTTCTTTTAGGTTTATTTTTATGGTGGAGGTTGCCAACTCTATCTTCCAGACAATCCAGGCTTATCTTGCTGTCATACGTTTGAGAATTACTAACAGATTTAGGTTTGTCACAAAAGTCAGATGTTAAGCCTTTTCCCTCCTATGTTCCCACATGATTTTTTAAAATCCCTTAGCTACATAGTAGTTACCATACCACAGTTTTTACATCTTTTTATAATTATGTTAGCACTCCCTTAGAGGGCAAAATGTCTTACTTGTATGGCTCTAGAGTACAGGACAGTGCCTAGCATAAAGCATTCAGTAAATGTTGAATGAATAGTCTCTCTTCCCCATACCCTTTCCTTAACACTGATGAACTCAAAGCATAGCTCTCAAAGGAACATATTAGTTCTTAGACATGGCCCAAAGAGGACTCAGTGTAACCCTTTTTAAAAAAGTTATTGATCAGGATAATTATGAGATGTAGTATTTTACTAAGCTGGCTAGAAATGTCTTTTTAGAACCCTGAAGCAGAAGGATGCACTTATGAGATTCAGACTTCTAAGAATAAAAATATTTGGGATAAGACTTGCCACCAATGGCCCATCAAAAGCAATTAATGTGATTACAGTCACCCTTGTCCCCAAGGACACAGTGGACAAGCCTTTGTGGAGAAGGGGAGGGAATCTGCTCCATCTGCCACCTATGTTTTGTTGCAGGAGGGAAGATAAGCCAAAGAGCGTCAAGCTTTAGAGGAAACTTTAGGTCCTTAGGTTCAAGGAATGTTTATTTTTAACTGCTGGGATTAAAACAGATCCAAAAAAATATTTGAACACATTCTAATCTTTTTACTACCAGAGAGAACTTAATTTAAACAAAGAGTAGAGAACATTACATATTCAGGAACACTTTAGGCTCTATGGGCAGTAAATGTAGGAAACCATTTTGATAAACTTCCCTGCTACTCCTTTTTTTCCACTACAGTACAGAACCTTCATGAAGTCATAGACTATGTTATCTTGTTCAGCCATAACCCCTTCCAGCATCTGGCAGGCTGCCAGGCAACATAACAGGTACTTGACACACACTCAAATAGATGAGGCACTCTAGGCAGGTCACCGGCCCACTTACGTCTCATCAAACAGGGGTTCCAAGGTCTTCCGCTTCACTGAAGTCTTCTTACGACATGTCCACTTCCTTTCTGGCAACAAGTAGACACGGACGTAGGGATCAGCTCCACTGCTCGTACATGGTGTCAGGTTTCTGATTTGGTGTCAAAGACATTAGGGAAAAAAAGGCCCCTGGTTTTCACACACTGAAAATACTTATTTGGGAGAAGTTTATATTAGCCATTCAGCATTAGATACCCTTGAGGACAAAAATGCTCAGTGGTCCTGATGATCAAGTCTGTAGAATTGAGAGGACAAAATAGACGCATGGTTTTGAAGACATGCATCTTTATAAAGCTTGGGGTAGAGCAAGTACTGGATGGAAGCTCGAGACTGTCACTTGGAAAATGTACTGGCTACCAGCCACTCAGGACAGTCTTGCAGTGTTTGCATCTGAGCAAAGCCCTTGGCTCTTGAGCCCGTCAGCACCACTGAAGAATGACGGCCTGAGTGCCCCTTTAAGGACTTTGTTACAATGTTCAGGGTTTCAAATCTCTCTTTCTTTTTCCCCCAGAGTGTCCTTTATCTTGGGACTGTGTGCCCTGTTCATTGCTCTGAGTGTCCCTACTCTGATTTATGGTCACCTGATGCTCCCAAAGAACCTCCTTGGCCCTAGAATCTCTTTACCTGCAGCTGTTGATGAGCACACGGAGGCAGCGCCGTAGACACACATAGCGCACTGTGAGCTGAATCTCGCCCAGCTGCCGCCGCCTGAGGTCCCCACCTCTGTAAAGAAAGAGCACATCACTTCTCTTGCTGTAATACATTGGCCCTCTTCCCCCACCCCCAAAGACAAAGAAGCATTCCTGCTAGGGGAGCATAGAGCCATGTGGGATAATCTGCAGTGAGTTTACTTTCTGTTGGAATTAGTTCCATCCAGCACTCATGTATAATTATCCTACTTCACGGTAGGAAGAATGGGAACCCTAAGGTGGGATCTGCCTTTGTATCATGATTCCTTTTGGGACCTTGAATGAATGTATTCAACTTTTATGATAAGTCCCATCTTGTAGGGTTATTGTGAAAGTTGAATTAAATCAGATAACATGCTAAGCCCATAGTAAACCCTTCATAAATGACAGCCATTTATTACATAATACTGCATATTAAACTTTCCATATCATCCCAGTTTAACACTTTAGAATCAGGAAATGGTTCTGCTGGAAGGGACCTTACCAGCCACAGTCCAGCATCTATTTTCCAGTCAGTACGGAGCTAGAGCCATAACCAGCCTGTCTGTCCCTCCCTCCCTTATACTGTGTTCTACCACACCATGCTGCCTCTTACGAAGAAATTTTGTGGAAAAACAGAACTTGTACAGAAATGTAAGTTCATATCTACTTTTCCACCCAGTGAGGTATTTTTCATACAGGCGATTTTAGAAAAGATTAAGGAGAGAGGTGCATACTCAATATTGAGGCTGATATCTGCCAGATCAAAGCAGGAAGAGGCCAGGGAGTTGAGCGAGGACATGCTGGGAGCCAGCCTCTTGGGCGGCCATGCGAATGGGGAAGAAGGGCATTTCATTGGTCTGGGTGACTTGATGGGTCCTGGAGAGTGGGGGCCTGGGACAGTCAGGAAGATGGTGGTTGAACTCTTCTTCTGCCCCATGGGCTCACAGAACCTTTTGGCATTGTCCTTGCCCTTGGGCTCTGGGCCTATCTCTTGGGGTGTGGGCTCAGTGGCAATGGTGGCAGCAGTGGTAGCACTGGTGGTGGTTGTGGTACTCTTGGTTGTGTCCTTAGTTTCAGAAGCAGAGTCTGGGGGACATGGCAAATCTGTAGGGCCTTCTTCCTGAGGTGGGGCTTTGGGACTCTGGTTGGTAGCCACCTTCTTGATGAGCAGAGGGCCTTTCTTTAGGGCTTCAGGTCCTGTGTATGGGCTCCCCAGCTCTCGTTCCTCCACTCGAAGGAACTGCAAGCCAGATAAGAGGGTGGTTTATGAGCTGGGCCACCAATTCTATAACCTCAGTCATTGTTTCTCCTTCCCCCTTTCCCTTTAGTTGTGAATTATTAAGACCCTTTCTTGGGACTTCCATTTCTAATAATACATACGGTTTTCGAAATATTCTGAAAAACTTGTTAGAAATGCCAAATTCACAAGAAAATAAGGATAATTCTGTTAAAACTGAAAAATAAAAGTTAAGCCTTCCTAGGGTTGTATATCAACCTTGGAATTCAGGGAGTTAGAAGAAGAGGCTGTGAGGCTAGGAGATGAAGGGAAGACCCATGAAGGTGGGATCTCTTTAGTAAAAAAGTAGTTTAGAATAAAAATTATTCTGCCTACCGGCAAAGACTGATGAGAAGAACACGTGTTTGTCACAGCCTGTACTCTGGTTGGAGGGTACAAAGCCTTCCCTACTAACATGACACCTCATAGGCCTGTCCTCTTACGAATTTTGAGTATAAATATGAGCTACCTATGGAATCTTGAAACCCAAAGTTAAAAAATTAACATAAAAATGGACTCAGGTTTGTAATGCACCTGAGGTTCTGGACTGCAGCAAAAGCAGAAACTCCTTGGAAGAGAACAACCTCAATCCAGGTCATAAAGGAACACTGAACACATGTTTGCAATCCAAGTTATAAAACAGAAATGAGTTACCATCAAAAACCATCAACAGGTCAGGCACAGTGGCTCCCACCTGTAATCCCAGCACTTTGGGAGGCGGATCACTAGGTCAGGAGTTTAAGACCAGCCTGGCTAATTTGGTGAAACCCCATCTCTATTAATAATACACAACTTAGCCAGGCGTGGTGGCACACACCTGTAGTCCCAGCTACTCGGGTGACCGAGGCAGAAGAATTGCTTGAAGCTGGAAGGCAGAGGTTGCAGTGAGCTGAGATTGCGCCACTGCATTCCAGCCTGGGTGACAGAGCAAAACTCTGTCTCAAAAAAAAAAAAAAATCAACAGACAAAACAAACATCAAAATTTAACTCCTAAGATCTTCAAATAATAGAACATACATATTAATACATTGTAACATACTTGTTTTTTTCTTTTTGAGACAGGGTCTCATTCTGTTGCCCAGACTGAAGTGCAGTAGTGCGATCTCAGCTCACCACAACCTCAATCTCCCAAAGCAATTACCCTGTCTCAGCCTACTCAGTAGCTGGGATTACAGGTGGGCACCACTACCACCCAACTAATTTTGTATTTTTAGTAGAGATGGGGTTTCACCATGTTGGCCAGGATGGTCTCAAACTCCTGACCTCAGATGATCCACCTGCCTTGGCCTCCCAAAGTCCTGAGATTACAGGCGTAAGCCACCACACCTGACCTATTGTAACATATTTTCAAATGACCTAAACATGAGAAGATAATAAAATTCTATGAGAAAATACCAAGTAGATTTGGAAAAGATAAAAATAGAAATGAAAAATCACCGTTAAAAAAAACCATGAACAGGTTAAACCACAAACTAGGCACAGCCAAAGAATGAATTAGTGGTCTGGAAGACAGTTCTGAGGGAATTGGAATGTACCACCATTGACTACAGAGATGGGAAATATAAAGGTGAGGTCAAGAGGCATGGAGGATAAATGAGAAGGTACATTATAGAAATTCTAGAAAGAGGAATTTAAAAAGAATGGAGCAGAGGCAGTATTTGAAGAGCCAGTATCTCTTCAAACATTGACTTGCTCCCATTCAGTATTCCAAAATTGATGAAAAACATGAATCCATCTCCTGGCTTCTTCCAGTTACACAGCAGGTGCTTAGTGCTGGGTAGTTCAACCTGCTTCACTGCCAGAGCTCTATTCCTCCCTCCCCCAGGGGGCAGGAGAGATTTACCCGAAGTACCAGCCTCATGGAGATGAGGCTGTCCAGGCCTGAGTGGTCCAGCTGAAAGCGCTGCTCAAGAGTTAGGTCAGCATAGGGGAGGATCTGGCACAGGGGGACCTCCAGCATTCCCAGAGCATACTCCTGGTCATCATCAAGCACCTAGGCAGTGGGCCAGTCACAAAACAAGAGGATCACCAAGCCCCACCACACCACTACTAGTGTCTGGGCCCCAACCAAGTTTAGGTTTACTTTAGTCTGTACTATGCTTCTATGGGCATCTATTCCTATTCTGAAAACTAGAATGGGATCAGGCCACTCCTGATCCTTGCCTGGCAAGACAGTGACAATTATGATATGTATGAGCTAGTCCGTTAAATGCCCAGAGCCAGTGGGCTTTGGGGACTGATGAGCTGTGCTGCTCCCCAGGCAGGGCTGAGGGCCCCAGAATATCCCCGTTCCATCACTGTTGGTATTGAGATCTTGGACAAGACATTGTTTTTGCCTCTCTTTGCTCATTCTACAGATTTTTGTGAAGATTAAATGAAGTGTGTGTGTGTGTGTGTACACCATTAATGTCCTGTGTAGATTCCAGCACAGGATATTCTGGGTGCTGTGTAGCAAATATAAAGACCCTTTTGCAGGGAAAGTCAAGGGGCTTAAGGGTTTATCCTTCCACATCCCTCTATACTATGACTTCAGGCACTACCTCAAGGAGAGGCCCTTGTGGGGCCTCAGTGACCCCTCTCACATATGAGGGGCTGACTTTAAACACTGTCAGGAGAACCTGCTCAAGGTGCACTTCAAGCTCCCCACCCCCCCACCCCTGGCTTAGAAACCTCTTAACTCTGTTTCAAGCCCCCATCTTCCAGCAAACCTTCAGATGGAGCTGCTCAGTAGCCACATTGTGCACAAAGAAGGAGAACATCTGGCTCCACACAGGGTCCTTGCTGTGGGGACAGGTCTGGGATCAGAAGAGAGACCATTGAAGGGTTAGGTTGGGCAGAGCTGGATACCAGCACCCTCTGCTCTCACTCTGGCCACCAAGTACATTTGGAACCTTACCTATATGCCCTGGGATCAGACCCACACATGCTACAGCTAGTGGGAGGCACTAGGACAGGACAGCCACACTCAAGGGCAGCTGAAAATTATACTGGCTTTAGAGCTCACTTCAGGAGAGGAGAGGCAACAGGATTTCTGCTGCTGAACCAAGAAAATTCATGATTGATAGAAAGGACACGGCTTCAGAACCATGCCCAAGCTTGAACTCTAGTTCTGCTTTGTGCCCTTGGTCAAGTCATTTATCTCTGATCCTCAGATTCTTGAATTATAAAACTATTTTGTGAGGTTATTCTGAAGACTAAATAAAATCAAGTGCCTACTAGGCATTCACCATAAGTTAATTTCCTTCCCTTTTGCCTCTCTTCCTGAGAAGGGCTGGGTCCCTGTTTCCTACACACCAAGCTGTCTTACCTTACTTGTATGTGTCTTCTTGCCTACTGATAGCTTGACATAGGAAGAGGGGTCTCTGCTGAGCTTGTTCTGTGAGGAATCAAATCCGTAACAGTGAAGGTGGCATAGTCAATATCAGCTTGAGACAGTCCTACCCCCACCCACTAGGAGCATCGGGGGGAACTGAGGCCAGCCAGTTACTTCTTTTTGAGAGAAAGCTACTCTGGTGCCCCAGACCCCCTGGGCTGTCATTACTATGCAAGGCCCAGGACAGGACTGACCCCAGAATGCAGTTCCAAGTTAAAACACCAGAAGCCAGAGTGGGGCCTGACCTGGCACAGGCTCTTGTTCCCTGGGGCTATGGAAACAGAGTGGAATCAAGTTTTGGCTCCTGCTCTTAGCTGTGTGACCCATAAAATGGTAATAAACATGAATGACGGTGAGACTCAGGGATAACAAATGTGGGGGATGAGTTACCAAGCCTAGTGCCTGGCACACAGTAGACTCCACAATCAACACCTCTTTTATCCCCAGGCTGTGTGTGCAGATGGTGGCCCAGAAGACACAGGGTTGCGGTTACTCTGGGGAGAGAAGCTGTGTTTTGCCTTCCCTGGAGTTTTCAGCCATATACTCACGTACTCTGGCAAATCTGGAGAGTTTTTTGGCTCGATATTCGCCGTTCAGGTAGTCAAAAGGGTTTTTCTGCAGCACAGGAATAAGGGGGTTAAATTAACACAGGACCATTTGGAAGTGATGGGCACTTTCGTTGCATGTGTGTGACACTCTGGACATTTCACCACTCACCGGCAAGTTGCAGGCACTCTCCAAGAAGACAATGAGAATGGCAGTAGAAAGGCCACCATGGTTCTGCAAACAGACGCAGACCCTCACTGAGTACTCCCAGTGGCAGAAGAGAAAGCCTACTCATGGCAGAAGAGAGCCAACTAGTCTTCACACTCCAGACTAGCTGCCGGAAGACCTCTCACAACCTAGCTTTTTGTTAAGGTTAAGAATATAACTGGCGCATGGCAGATTCAAGTTAGACACTGAGGGGATTTCCCTATGAACTGGGAGGACAGACATTGATTGACACAGAGTTCTAAGGACCTCACCATCTAAAGATGATGATACTCAGAGGACATTTGCTGAAAGCCATCAGGAGCTGCCCTGTGTGGAAACAGGCTGAGGTACAGCTCTCCAGGAGGTGAGCAAGAACAGGAGGCATTATCTCCTTCCCTTCCTCCACCTGCACACAGCTGGCACATGTGCTCCTCCACCTTTCTGCTAGGGAGCCCTTGACACCCTGCACTCACCTCGGTCAGAGCTTCCTGGTCAGTGAGCAGTGAAAGCCACTCCAACCGCAGGTGAAGCCGCCCGCTGGTTGTGTCATTCAGGACGAACCACTGTGGGATGGGGGCAGAAAGCTCAGGGAAAGGGCAGGGAGATGCTACTGATGCTCTTTGGGCAGCTCAGTCCTGGGACCTGGTGGGACCCTAGTAGAGAATCCAGGGAAAAGGTGGACCAGCCCAGACAGGGTATGCTTTGGGCTCAGAGGGACTGGGAGATGTGCTTATAAAAAGAAGTGCTACACTGTGGGATTAAGAAAAATGCAGGCCCAGCCTGCCCTCCTTGGTAATGTGACTGTCCACTGCTGGGGTCCTTAGTCTGTGAGCATTTTCCAGGGAAACGTCTTCCAACCAGAAGGCCCTGGAGAATACCCTGGGGAGTTCCCTGGAGCCGTCTGTGCCTCACCCAGCTCTTGCCCCTGAGGATGGACATGTGTGCAGCCTAGCACAGAGGGGGACCACAGCATAAGAATAGCTGGGCTGAAGCAACCTACTGGAGCTGTCCACAGGAAAGGGATACCTTGAAATCCCGGGGGTTACAAGCACTAACTGTACCTCATCCACCACTCTGCTGGTCATGACGTCTCTGAGGCAGATCTGCAGGCTGGAATATATAGGGAGAGGGGATTGATTGGGTCAGTGCAGAGGAAGAAAGCAGCAGAGGGCATGGAGGCCCAGTCCGGACTCTGTTTTCAGTTATCTGAGTGAAGCCATTAAGACAGGATCTTACCCCAAGGAACCAATGGGGGACCAGTGTCAGCTCAAGTGAAGGAAAGACTACCTACCGTCAGGGCTGCTTCCACTGGGTGTGCTACCTGGTGAGGCAGGGTGCTCCCATCCCCAGAGGGGACAAGCAGAGGCTACTGGACACATCACTTCTGGATTTCTCAATGACAGTGCAACTGGCATTTTGAGTGGGATGATTCTTCATTGTGCAAAACTACCCATGCATTGCAGGAATTTGGCCTTCTGGTCCTGCGCCCTCTAAATGCCAGAGGCACCACCTCTCAGTCACGTTAATAACCCCAGATGCCCCTTCATTTCCAAAACTACCCCAGGTACCCTGCAAGGGGTAAGTATTGTTGGCATGTAAATGTAGTTTGGATGTCTGTCTCCTCCACATCTCAAGTTGAAATGTGATCCCCAATGTTAAAGGTTGGGGTGCCTAGTGAGAAGTGTTTGGGTCATGGGGGCAGATCTCTCATGAATGGCTTGGTGCCCTCCCCACAGTAATGAGCTCATGCAAGATTTGGTTGTTAAAAAGAAGCTGGGACATCCCCCTCCTCTTGCTTCCTCTCTCTTGCCATAGCTGTGACATACCTGTTTCTCCCTCACCTTCTGCCATGAGTAAACCTGCAGAACCATGAGCCAGACAATCCTCTTTTCCTTATAAATTACCTGACCTCGAGTATCCCTTATAGCAACAAAATATGGACCAAGACAGCAGGTATGTGTGAGGGGAGGTAACACCCACACCTCAGCTTGCCCCTATCTCACCCTGAGCCAAGCCCAACTAGAAGGTCCTGATGGCCAGAGAGGAAAACGTAATTCTATGTAACGGTAAGAAATGTGCTTAAGCTCAAAATATACCTGAAATCAGTTATTAATAAAGCATGACCCACAAGCCACACTTCTAATCTTCGACATTACAAAAATTGCAGCTGTTTTCATGAAGATAATAAAAAATAAGCAACATCCAGTGGTGAATCTGAGTATTAACATCCAGGCTAATACACATAGATCCTACTTGTTTCTTAAACTGTCAGACTGTGCCCCTCCCAGTTTGTTTAGTTTCTACTTTTCAAAATTACATGATCCTGGAAACAAGCTAAACAATACAGGAATCTGAAAATTTGGGTAAACCTGCCTTTTCTGCTTCCTCATCTGAGATAAGTGGTGTAACAGCCAGCCTTTCTCTGCTCACATGAACACATGCAAAAATACTCATTCAGGGTTCCTCTCCCAGATGATGACTCATGAAATGTTATGCTCAGCTGCTCTCCCCCATTTCATAATGGGTGTCCCTCCAGGTTAATACACTGAGATTCTACTTGTTTTTCAGAGCTGTAGAATATTCTCTAGTTTGGCAATGGAAACTTTATTCAAACATTCAGCCAATGTCCTCTGAGATTAGATATTCATTTGGGGGGATGGTGGTGGTTTTTCTTCTATGGATAGTTCTGCAATAAACATTTCAGATAGTAGGGCTTTTAGAGGAGATCCTGGAAGTAGGATTGCTGGACCAAAATACATGTTAAGTGAAATTTGGATAGTCAGCCCCACCCTGGCCATTTTTGTCAACCCATACCCCTGAAGGGGCTAGGTTCTAACCCCTAGAACATGGCCCAGGGTTCCTTAGGACCGGGCATCTGGCCATCCATCCCAGCCTTATCCACTACTCCACAGGGGGACTTGGTACATTATCAAGAAGGCAGAAAGCAGAGCCATGGAATACAAACCTTGGGGTCCTCTCTGTGCCCCCCAGGGCCTAGGTCAGGGCTGGGCACTTGGGAGACATCTGGGAAGGTTTGTGGTAGGAAAGTAGAATGGTGAGGCAGGTTGCCTGGCACAGTCACCATGTCAGGGTGACCAGAGAGGCAGAAGCAGGGTATCTATGTCCAAGGCCCAGCCCAGCACCCCCAGAGACAGAAGCCTGCCTTCAGGCCCAGCTGTGCATCCTCCTCCTCACCTGCCCAGGAAGTCATCCCTGTCGGTATCCTCATCATACAGGTCTACCTCCAGGTCCTGCCCAGGGACTTCATACACCATGAACTAGAAGGAAAGAGAGGGTGTCATGACCTACAGACAACAGTTGACCTTATGTAAGACCCAAGGGGAGCCAAATCATGGCTTGGAATGCTAGCAGATTCCTGACTTCCTCAGTGCCTGGAGAACCCCACCCATAAGAAGTGAGTAAGGCCCCTCCCCTGCAGTGGGGAAGAGAAGATTAGAGAAAACATGTGCAAGCCCATGGCAGAGTGGATGTCCAGGGGTCAGTGGCTACTGTTTGTTCTGTGTGGGCCGTGCAGTGTCCAGAGCACGTGTCCATCACATTCTCCTGGCCCCCATAGGTCTGCAATACCAGGAAGCCCCAAGCTGCCCTCTATCACCTCTGCTTTCACTGCCTCACCCCAAATATAACAGAGCATCCAGATGGTATATTGGGAGGGGAAGTTGAAAGGGGTCACCTAGGATGTGGCTCTCCTGGAGTATGTAATCTGGGGGGCCTTAACAGGCTGTGGTTCCCACCCTTCAAATAGTAGGGATTATGGCTGAACTTAAGAATTTCAGGATCCTGGTATTTGGCTCTGACAGGGGAGGCTGAGGAGTGGAGCAGAAATGTCTCTAAGGCTGTTTCTCTTTGATTTGAAATTTTGTAACACAGTTGGAAGGAGAAAAGAGGTAGGAATTTGTCTTCGCACTGGTCCTGTAGTCGAGCCAGAGTAGCCCACTCTGGAAGCGTGGTAGATACAGGAGTGGGAATTCCATAGACCTGCCTGTCTCCAAGGCTCACTCCCCGCCTAGGGTTGCCCCTTGGTATGTGAGAGCCACAAGGGAAAGGCCCTCCCTTGCCTCTGCCTGGCTTGATCCAGAGTGAAGGCTAGAGGGATCAAGAGATGCCAGGAGCAACCAAGGAGACCCTTACCTCAAACACCTCATTCCAGGTGGGATCCAGGTTCCTGTAGATGGTCCTACTCCGGAAATGCTGCAGGCCGATGCTTACCTTGGCGTAGGGATCTGACTTGCCTCGGAGCCCCAGAAAGTTGTCCTTCTGGGCCAGCTTCTCTGCCTCCAGCAAGTGCACTCTGATCACCCCCTGGAAAAAGCCCATGCCCAGGGCTCACACCTGCTTCCTGGGGCCCCCAAGTCCTGGAGTATCAGAGCTAAAGCCATCAGAGATCACTGCTGCCCCCACATTGCCCCCTCCATGGTCTGGACTGGGAGACAGAAGCCTGATATGACAGTGACCTGGCCAAGGCCACACAGCAAGTGATGGCAGGGCTCTCTCCACCAGTATGCCTTGCCCATATCCCTGGCCTCCCCACTCCCTGCCTCCAAACTGCCACATGAATGGCTTATTCAACTGCAGCTATTGGTCTCTCTCCTGTGCCAACAATCATGATACCTAACGAGGCTTCCTCCTTTACTCCAGCCCCCTCTGTTGTGTGTCCTACATATAGACTGAGTCCTAGCATCCCTTCTCCTGGTTCCCTGGGCACTGCCAGCTGCTGACAGTAGGTCCCTGCACTCCTAAAGGCCCCAGCACTGAGCCTCATCTCCACCACACTCTGGGCTATGCTATTAGGGAAGACCCTGACCCCACACTTACATGGATAGATGTTTAAAAGAAAAGGAATGTAACTCCGTTAACAAAGACGGGCACAGGAATTAGGACAGCATAGTTCATGGGCTTTGAGGTGTATCTCCTTCCTAGAATTTTTTTTTTTTTTTAATATCAGGAAATACACATGCATTTACTCTTTACTCAGAAATCTTACTTCTAGGAATCTATTCCAATGGCATACTAGCAAAAATCTAAAAAGACATGTATGCAAGGCTATTCATTACACTACTATTTGTGATAGCAAAAGACCCAACACAACATAATGGTCCATCAATAGTTACTGTGTTGAATAAACTTCAGTACATTCCCATAGTGAAGTACTTTGCAGCTCTTAAAAGGAATGTGGAAGATCTCTAATCTACACTGTCATGGCATGATCCCCAAAACATACTCAGTGTTAAAAGCATACTGAGGGCCAGGTGCAGTGCTCATGCCTATAGTCCCAGCACTTTGGGAGGCCAGGGTAGGTGGATCACCTGAGGTTGGGTGTTCTAGACCAGCCTCGCCAACATGGTGAAACCTGGTCGCTACTAAAAATACAAAAATTAGCCAGGCTCGGTGGTACTTGCCTCTAGTCCCAGCTACTTGGGAGGCTGAAGCTGGAGAATCGCTTGAACCCAGGAGGCCGAGGTTGCAGTGAGACAAGTTTGCGCCACTGCACTCCAGCCTGGGCGACAGAGCAAGACTCCATCTCAAAAAAACAAAAACAGCCTGGGGGAAACTTTACTATGCTGCCATCTATCAAAGAAAGGGAGAATTTGAATGTAAGCAAATATGTATCATATGACCATACATACGTATTTGTTCATATTAAGTAACAAAGGTTGGGTGTGGTGGCTCATGCTTGTAATCCCAGCACTTTGGGAGGCTGAGGTGGGTAGATCACTTGAACCCAGGAGTTTGAGATCAGCGTGGCCAACATGGCAAAACCCTGTCTCTACAAAAAAATACAAAAATTAGCCAGGTGTGGTGGTGCACACCTGTGGTCCCAGCTACTCAGAAGGCTGAGGTGAGAAGATTGCTGGAGCCCTAGAGGCGGAGGCTGCAATGAGCTGTGATTGTGCCACTGCATTCCAGCCTAGCTAGGCAACAGAGCAAGACTCCATCAACCAATCAATAAAATGGGAGGATAAACCATTACTTATAAGTGAAGGGTGGGGAGTAGGTGGAGGGAACAAGGGATAGAATCCAGACTCCTTAAAATATAGTTTGGTTTTTAATTGGACTTTAGAAATATACAACTACTTTACATAATTGTAAAAGAAAGTTAAGGTAAAAAACCCTAAAAATGGAGAATAGAATGAAACAAGTCAATGTAATATTTATGGTCAGTTGTCACAAACACACAGAGGAACTATGCCAAGTAGGTTTAAAAGACAGTAAATCTGACAGTATCAAATTTACAGTATCCCAAGTGGGATACACCCCAAGGACAAAATGTCTTTAGTAATGATGATGTGGGCGATGGTGTTTATCCCATTATTCTGAGACCATCAAGCACTGGTGTAAAGTAAAGCCAATGCACCACATGTGAAGGCTGAGAGGATATTTGTGCTGCCTCCCAGCAGGCCTGTGTCCTCCTGGGCCTTGCCTCTGTGTGTGGCGCAGGCGTGAGGAGCAGCGTGCATCAGGCCAAGTGTGAGAAGACGATGCTTCCCACCTGGTGCTGATGGTAAAAATGGGCACTTTCCCTTTCCTGAGGCCCTGACTCCCAGCCCCAAGGGGCTCATGCCCACACACACCCAGGGCACTTTTCTGTAGGGAGACCATATGGTTATCCTCAGGGGCCTCCTGAGATGAGCTGAGGATGTGGGGGACAGTGGGGCTCAGCACTCAAGGAAGCCATGTCCCGGTTCAACTGAGACTCTCCTTCCCAGTAGACCCAAATATTCTTCCCAGCACCAAACTGACAGAGTCAGGGGAGCATTGCCTTCCTGAAGGGAGAATAGGAGGTTCCGAGTTTTATGGGGCTTACTGCCCGCAAAGTCTCCAACACAAGCTACCCGGGAGGACCAGGAGCGCAGAAAGAATGCCACCCTGGGTTCTGCTCCTTCTTAGATGGGTGATTTTGGGCAAGTCAACCTTCCTGAGCCTCAGTCTCCTCCCTAAAAAACTGGGGATGCTGTGCCCTTAGGGGGCAGAAATAAGGATTACCATCTGAGAATGCATGTGAGGTGTCAGCGCCCCCCAGCTACTCTGTGGCTGGTACTGGGTACTCACGCAGGGCAGAGGGAAGCGTAGGTTGGTCAGGTCCAGCCCCTTCTTCACAGGCACAGTCACACGGTTGGGCAGCACCAGGTGGGCAGCAATGAGGTCCTCCAGCAGGCTGTCTGACACCTCACTGGACACAGGCAGGACCAGCTGTGGAAGGGTGGCACCGCCTCCCCATGCCATCTGCCACTCCATCCCTAGCAGGAACCAGGAGCCCAGCTTGGCAGGGTGGGCCTCACCTGGACAACAGCCCTAACCCGCCTTACCTGGATAGCAGTGGGGGTGCCTATACATTGTGACAGCCCCTGACATTTTATCTCAATAGCAGTCCTCCCACCTGCACATCCCCAACTCCCTCTGCCTCCAGGCTGCTTTGTTCTTGGAAGTCACACAGCACAGTGGCTAAGAGCAAGGCTGAAGCCTGTGTTAGAATCTCAGCTCCACCATCCACTAGCTGTGTGGCCTTGGCAAGTCTCTAACCTCTCTGGACCTCAGCATCCTCACCTCTAACCTGGGGCTAATAATGGGTACTCCTGGGGTTGTTGGCATCTGGGTAAGGTGCTGAGAGCAGCATCTAGTCCACAATAAGTGCTGTGAGAGCCCTCCTCCTTGATGTCACTCACATTCTCTTTGTTCACTGCCTGACTCCACTTCCTGGTACTGGGGGACAGGGATGGTGCCTGGAACAGGGCTGGCATGGTGTAAATGCTCAGTAAATACTTTTTGAATAAAAGAACACATGCCTGATTCTCTGTCCAGAGTGGGTGAGATCCATGCAGAGGTCAGTGAGTGAGTGAGTCAGTGGCCCTCTCCTGAGCCTGGTGAGCCAGCGGGTGCCAGCCCTTGCCAGTCCAAGTGTCCCTTCCTTCCAATGGGGCTGGTGCCCTTCTCTGCTCCTCTCATGGGGCCTGGGGCTCTGCGAGCAGCCTTCACTTGCCCCCAGATGGTGAGATTCCAGGACCACTTCCTCTTCACTGGCCTCTGCTGTGACAGTGCCCTTACATGCCTATGTTTGTGATCATGGTCGGGGAAGTCACATAGGCTTCTCACCACACACTTGGTTTGGGGAGGGATGGAGTAAGAAAGAAAGGAGGACACTCATGTGTCCACACCCAATGTGCTGCCTCCACACACCTGAGTGTCCTCCGAGGGACCTAAGACAGAGCAACCAGCCTCCCCTTTTACTGAGGAAGAGGCCAGAGAGGTGAAACCACTTCTCCACAGTCACTCAGCTGCTAAGTGACAGAGCCAGGAGCTGGCTGCCTCTGGTTCTAGAGGCACTAGAGGCACCACACAGCCTCCCCTTGGACCACACCTCAACAGATAAGAGCCACTTGCCCCCTGCACCAGGACAGGGACCTGAACATCAGCTCAATGTTCGGCAAAGCAGTTCTTCCCACTCCATGGGTGTGTGTGTGTATGTGATGTGTGGTGTATGTGTGTGATATGTGGATGTATGTGTGGTGTGTGTGGTGTGGATGTGTGTGATGTATATGGTATATGTGGTGTGTATGTAGAGTGTGTGTGTGTGTGTGTGTGTATGTGGTGTGTGGTATATGTATGTGTGGTGTGTGGATGTATGTGTAATGTAGTGTGTGTGGTGTGTATATGTGGTGTGTGGTATATGTGGTATGTGGTGTATGTGGTGTGTGTGGATGTATGTGTGTGATGTGTGTTGTGTATATGTGTGGTGTGTATGTGGTGTGTGGTGTGTGGTATGTGTGTGATGTGTGTAGTGTTTGTGGGGGTGTGTGGTGTGTATCTGGTGTGTGGTGTGCGTGGATGTATGTGTGTGGGATGTGTGTGGTGTGTATATGTAGTGTGTGGTGTGGTGTGTGTAGTGTGTGGTGTGGTGTGTGCAGTGTGTGTATGGTGGGGGTATGTGTGTGTGGTGGGGGGTGTGTAGTGTGTGGTGTGGTGTGTGCAGTGTGGGTGTGGTGTGGTGTGTGCAGTGTGTGTATGGTGGGGGTATGTGTGTGTGGTGGGGGGTGTGTGGTGTGTATCTGGTGTGTGGTGTGTGGATGTGTGTGGTGTGTGAGATGTGTGTGGTGTGTATATGTGGTGTGTGGTGTGTGTGCAGTGTGTGTATAGTGGGGGTGTGGAGGGTGTGTGTGTGTGTGTGATGTGTGGTGGGGGTGTGTGTGGTGTGTAGTGTGTGTACGTGATGTGTGTGGTATGTGTGTATGTGGTGTGGTGTGTATGTGGGGTATGTATGTGGTGTGCAGTATGTGTATGTGTATAAGTGGTGTGTGTGTATATGTGTGGTGTGGTGTGTGTGCATATGTGTGGTGTGGGGTGTGTGTGTTGTGTATGTGGTGTGTGGTATGGTGTATAGGGTATGTGGTGTGTGGTATGTGGTGTGTATGTGTGGTGGGTATGTGATGTGCGGATGTATGTGTGTGATGTATATATGTAGTTATGTGGTGTATGTGGTGTGTATGTGTATGTGATGTGTGTTGTGTGTGTTATGTGTTGTGCATGTGGTGTGTGGTATGTGGTCTGTGTGTGGTATGTGGTGTGTGGGTGTATGTGGTGTGTATGATGTGTGATGTGTGTTGTGTGAGGGAGATGTGTGTGGTGTATGTGGTATATGGTGTGCAGTGTGTGTGTGATGTGTGTAGTGTATGTGTGCGGTGGTGGTGTGTGTGTGGTGTGTGTTATGTCGTGTTTGTGTGTGATGTGTGGTGTGTAGTGATGGGTGTGTGTGTGTGTGTATGTGGTGTATGTGGTGTGTGGTGTGTAGGGTATGTGGTGTGTGGTGTGTAGTGATGGGTGTGTGTGGTGTGTATGTGGTGTGTGGGGTGTGTGTGTGTGGTGTGTGTATGTGATGTATGTGGTATGGTGTGTGGTGTGGGGGCAGCAGTACTGGGCACAGTGCCCACCCACAGAAGCTACACAACACTGTTAGCCTCCCACTCCCACTCCAAACAGACCAAGGCTTTCCCCTCTGCAGAGTGTGCCAGGAGGCAAGGCACTACCATTACACAGCTCCCATCACTGGCTGCAGAGCCCTAGAGGCCACCAAACTTAGGATCTCCCTTGAGGCTCTCCCAGGCACCTACTTGATTCCTGGCGCATCCAGCAGGTTGGTCAGGCCTGTCCAGTTGATCTGTAGGTGCTTCAGGGGCAGAGGGAGGCTATTAGGCTGGAAAGGGCTGGGAGGCCAGGGCTGAGAACCCCCTGCCAAGAGACTCACACCCATGTGAATGGAGAACCCAGCCTACTAGGGTGGGAGTTGGGGGGAAGCAGGCCAAGCACCCTTTGCTGGGGTGCCAGGCAGGCGAGGCCCCCTCCCAGCCCAGCTCAGGCATCTAGCAGTATTGAGGGCCCAGGCCTAGTTGAGGATGGGGCCGGGCCACATCTTCCCATAGGAGTGGGATCATCCTCATGGCCATTGGCTGGCCTGGACTTTGAAAGCTGAGTTTGAGTCTCAGCTCCACTTCAGACCATCTGCGTGACCCTCTCTGAGCTTAGCTGCCTCATCTTGGGGAGGGTGGAGTCTAGCTCAAGCTGCCTTAAGGATTAAATGAGATAGGGAATGTGACTGCCCAGGTCTCAGTGGGCTTGGACAATGTCCATTCTTGGACTCAAACCCTACGTCTAGGGCCCAGCAGACCAGTGCCTACTCCCAGGGAGCAGCAGGCTTACCGTGGTCCCGGGGACTTACCGGTTTCTGAAGGAAGAACACAGTTACAGCTCCCACAAAGGGCTTGTCCACTAGTAGGGGCTCCAGGATGACCCGCAGGGTGCCCTGCAACTGGATAGGCACAGACGGCCTGTGAGGCCTCCTTTCTCCCCATCCTTGCTGGGCTCAGCTGAGCCATCTGCTGCCTCATTTCATGTCCATGCCACCCCACATGTCAGGACCACGTGCCCTGGGCCACCTGCTCTCACAGCAGGAGCCACACTTAATGTACCGAGGCCTGGACATAGCTGCCACCCCTTGCCGGCTACCGAGGGTCCCCGAGCAAGCCCCACTGCCTTCCACTGGTGTGCTGGCCTGGGAGACATATAGCCTTTGGCAAGTTTTGGGCTGGCCCAGCCAGCAGGGACCCCGGAATGATCTCCAGGCCCAAATCAGCTTTCTACTCCCACTGAGAGTTATTTTCACCTCCTGGGTCCACCTCAGTCTCCAAGCAGTGGCTTTCTATTGCTCTGTGAACACCACCTCTCCCAGGCAGCCAAAGCCTCTCGCTGGCCCTTTGCAGTCACAGATCAGGCTGGAGGTCTCTAGAGGACAGCAGTGGGTTGATGAAGCCAGCCACCACTTCCTGGCCGTATGACCTCAGGCCTGCAGCTCCTCTGTAGACACCAGCCTCTGTGTTTAGTGTCACCACTGCCTTCTGCCACCTACTCTGGAAGGAGCTGGCCTCCCCCTTCCCTGATCCCTACCCTAGGGGCTGGAACAGAAGCAGCCCTGCCGGGCTCCACCCACCTGGATCCCGTTCACACCAGCCTGAATCTTCTGCAGTTCCACACTGATCTCACAGTCTCCTACATAGCTGAAATGGTGGGTAGAGAAGGAAGGTAGGGAGGAGGGGTAGGTCCACTTGCTCAGAGAGGTTGGAAAACTTGCCCAGTGTCACACAGCCTGAGGCCAGCAGCCAGCTGCTAACCCTGAGCTCTATGCACTGGGCACATGGCCTAGTAGCCTCAGCCTTTCTCAGCTTTGCCCAGACCTGACCCAAGCCCAGGCCCCAAGAGGCAGCCCCCTTGGGCCCCTGCATTCAGGTATCCCAAGCATATCCCCATCTCTGACCATGAGAGCAGTGACTCTGGGCACCCCCTCATCCATGACACCACAAAGGTGAAAAGGAGGGGCTCTTGGTAAACACACTGTCCACCTCTCCACCACTGCCATCCCCCTGCCCCATCTCTGCCCAGGTATCTTTCACGGGGACACAGAAGCAGCCCCCACTGCTTACATCCAGCCACTGTTCCTGGTGCTGCTAGGACTGGTGGAGGTGGGCAAAGGTAACAAGGCCTCAGACTTCAGCACAGAAGCCCAAGTCCACCTAGTGGCTCTCGCCAGGTGATGGGCATAGGGGGTTCAGAATAGGTGCCCCTGAGGGTAAGGATCAGCAGGTCCTGGGAAAGCACTGAAGGAGACTCAGGGGAGGGAGAGCGCAGCCATCAGACATATGCAGGGCCTGGGCAGAGGGGCCCGATGTCACAAGTCACGCAAAGGCCAAGTGCTTCTTGAAAGGGCAGGAGTGAGCAGGACAGGAGAGATGGGAACCCCGGGGACTGCCTGGGCAGCTGAGTGGGCCACACAACCTCCATGTGCCCTGAGTATTCCTGCAAGGATCTTGTGGCAGAGCCCCAGGGCCTGGGAACACCCAACAGCCTGTCACCATCCCCACATACTTGGGACCAGCCCCCACATGGGGATTGGTGGTCCCAAGAACTGGCTCCTATCTTCCCAACATGCTCTTACTGCCAGCCTCTAGGTTAACGACAGAATGAGACACAAAAGGAATGGCAACACTCTGGATCCTCAGGAGCTGGTCCTTTGTCTTTTAAAGGGCAATTCAAATCTTCCGACTTCCAGGATGACTTCCTGGATTGAATCTCCCTTCTTCCTGACTCATGCTCACTATGAACCTCATTTCAAAGAGCTGTCCTTGCCCAACCCCCTGAACTAGTCACTTACATGTCTTTGCATTCTCTATTTTCCTGGGGTGCCGCAGAGCCCAGGTCTCCAGCTGACCTCTCATGGCCTGTGTTTGAAGTTCACATGAGTCCTCACATCATCTTGTCACACTTGCTCCCACTAGACACATCCTCTCTGAGGCAGCTGGTCTGACCCTCAAAGTGACCCAGTCCCAGCTTCCAAGAAAGCTCTGCTGCCTGGGCCTTGGAACCCAGAGTGTGCCAGGGGATGGGAGAAGCTGGGGCAGGGGGTCCTGTGAGGGGTTCCACATCCCAAGTCAGGGTATATATATGCTACTCCATCTTCAAACTGGCTGTTCCCACAGAGCATCCCCTGCACCCCTGAAGCCCATACCCGGCCGCACAGGTGGCAGGGCTCACCATATCTGCAGGTCCACAGTCACACGTCTTCGGTTGCACTTGTTAGTGTGTGCCTTGACACCGTTCACCCTGGGGCACTGGAAGAAATGCCAAAAGGGCTAGGTCATAGGCTTCTTGCAGCAGGGGACAGCTGCCAGCCCTTCACCTGGCACTGGGTTTTGCCAGAACCAAGCATGACCACCACACTTCCAGGATGAGGCACAGACATGTAAATCTCTCCTGCAGCCCTGAGACTTCCTTCCCCAGAAAGTGTCCCCTCCTTTCTCTCCCTTCCTGCCACTATTCACACAGCCACACAGAGTGGCCCTGCAGCCAGGGCCATGTTCATGTCCCATAGCAAACTTTAGAAGTGGGTCCTTTCCCTTTACAGGAAACTGGAGCTTAGAGAAGTCAAGTCACTGGCACCACAGCACAGGTAGCACTGGGGCATGGGGACTGGAGGAAGCTAGCCATACTCATGGGTGTGAACGAACACTTGTGGCAGCTGAAAAAAATAATTGTTTTTAATGCTTAGGGATATGTGAAGAAAGGGGTTGTGCTGAGTGCACTGGGTCCTAGTCAAGCCCAGGAGGGTGTGGGGAGGAATCCTCTGTGACCCCAAGAAGGAGAGGAGGGGACATGTGGGGAATGGGAGAGCAGAGGGGAAGAGGGAGGGACAGGACATGAAGAGCGTTGGATGCCAGGATCAAGAGGCAGGTGTTTCTCCTGCAGGGCTGGGACATGTGGCAGGCCAGCAGCTTCCCCGCCAGGTTCTCCTGAAGTGGTAAATATCGTTTCTTAGGATTGCTTGCCAGCACTCTACATCCCATAGACCAACGGTCCCCAACCTTTCGGGCACCAGGGTCCAGTTTCTTGGAAGACACTTTTTCCACAGACTGGGGGTGAGGCAGGGAATAGTTTTGGGAAGAAACTCTTCCACCTCAGAACATCAAGCATTCGGTTCTCATAAGGAGCACACAGCCTAGATCCCTCACATGTGCAGTTCACAGTAAGGTTTGTGCTCCTGTGAGAATCTAATGCCACTGCTGATCTGGCACAAGGTGGAGCTTAGGCAGCAATGCTCGCCCCAGCTGCTGACCTCATGCTGTGCAGCCTGGTACTGAGAGTTGGGGACACCTGCCATAGGCACAACCACCAGAGGACAGCCTGGCTGAGCAGGCTCCGCTGTGAACACAGCACTCTGCAAGCCTCTTGGCTCTTAGCCTGCTGAATTCTTCAAAAGCCAACAGAGACATCACCTCTTCCTGGAAGTCTTCCCTGACTCCCACAGCCCCTCCACCCCTCCATTTCTGAACTCGCATTCCTCTGCCATCATGCATGCATACACTGCCATGTTGCCATCCACCAGTCGATGTGTCCCTCCCACAGGAAGGGGTGCAGCCACACCCAACTCTATGATGCCCAGCACACAGCACGTGCTCAGTAAGTCACAGGTGAATGAAACAAGGAAAGAACGCATGAACCAACAGATGCTGGCACAAGCCAGGTTGAGTGGCAGAAATCCCAATCTCCAGGGCTCAGGCCTGCCTAATGCACCCCTGCGCCGGGGCTAGCCAGGCAGGGCTGGCAGACAGCTCTCAGCAGGCTGGCCTGTACTCGGACACCTGCTCGTTCCCAGTGCCTCTCATTCACTGGGTCACAGTGGTCTCTGCCCAGGGGATATATTCTGGATGACCAAACTACTCAAGTCACTGGGGTCACTTCAAGGCAGGAGGAGTAGGGTGCCAAGTCTGAAACAGGAAGCCCAGTCTAGAACAGGGACAGTGGTGCTAGGTGTGCCAATACAAATTTCACTGGCCACAGACCATTTCATCCTGGGACACCTACTGATCTTCACAGAACTAGCATGGACTCGTCACACTGAGTGACACACCAGCCACTTAGTAGAAAATATAAAGCGCTTGGCAGCACTGACTATCCAAAGTATGAGCGTGTGTTCAGCACCGAGGTTAGCGACTGTGATTTCCATCTTTCTGTCTGGCTACCAGCATGGCATGTCTTCCAAGTTTTGCTTAAGAAAAGTGGAAATGGCTGGGCACCGTGGCTCAGGCCTGTAATCCCAGCACATTGGGAGGCTGAGGTGGGCAGATCATGAGGTCAGGAGATCGAGACCATCCTGGCCAACACGGTGAAACCTCACCTCTACTAAAATACTAAAAATTAGCCAGGTGTGGTGGCACGTGCCTGTAGTCCTAGCTGCTTAGAAGGCTGAGGCAGGGGAATCACTTGAACCCGGGAGGCAGAGGTTCCAGCCTGGCGACAGAGCAAGACTCCATCAAAGAAAGGAAAGGAAGGAGAAAATAAATGTAGAAATATTTCCCATGTTTCCTCTGAGCCAGACTTCCTTGGAACCTGGGGAGATGGTGGTGCAGGGATGGGGGAGAAGGGTGTCTACTGAGGCTGACAGGCTGGGAAATGCAGGTGAGGGGAGGTATACTCCTGTAAGGTCCAGTGGGATCTTTGCAGTCATATAACTGACCTAGGTGGGAGAAAGGTCAGGGACAGAGAAAAGGCTGCACAGCCAGCCCAGGCTGACCCTCCAAGACACACCCACCTTCTGTCCAAAGTAGAGCTTGGTAAAGGTAAAGGTCCTCAGATGGACGCTCTTCTCCCGGATCTTGGGTTCAAGTTTCTCCCGGAACTTGGTTTCCATGATCATGCTGAGGTAGGGCCAGGTCTGAGAGATGATCTGTGAAGACAGGAAGAGGCCCTTGATAGTCAGGTCTGTGCCCCCACTGCAGACCCACAGCTGCATAGGACAAGGTCCTGATTCTCTGCAGCCTGGTCTCAGGGTGAGGGTCCCTATGCTGCAGCACTCACCTGCCTGCTGCCCACCCGTCTGCTCACCTGTTCATCTGTCTGTCCATCAAACATCTGATAACTGCAGCCGTGGTTCCCACTGTCATGCAGGCAGCAGGACCCCAAGATTTGGTGCTATTTTGCAGAGCACCATGAACTACTAATTCACTACACTAAATATTATGGAGCCCTTTAGTTCTGTGTTAAAACATGAGTTCATTCTACATTGTGGTTTAAAAAAATAAGTAACAGATGCCAGAGGTTTAAGAAAAACATTACAGAACAGAAAGTTAAATTGTTTCCTATAGATTTAGTTTCTAGCAATCAGAAAAGGCAGCCTTTGCCCAATTTCTACAGCAGAATGACTCACTGCACTGGTTTGGGAGCTAAGTGTAGGACCTGGGGAGAAGGAAGGTGGCAGAGATAAGGGAGGAGGGTGGAAATCAGAGGAGAATGGAGGGAGGGCCAGCCAGCAGATATGCTCTGTTTGGGGCGAGGCTTCTCCATGTCTTCTTTTTTTTTTTGAGATGGAATTTCACTCTTGTCACCCACACTAGACTGCAGTAGCATGATCTCAGCTCACTGCAACCTCCACCTCCTGGGTTCAAGCGATTCTCCCGCCTCAGCCTCCCAAGTAGCTGGGATTACAGGTGCCTGACACCACGTCCGGTTCACTTTGTTGTTGTTGTATTTTTAGTAGAGATGGGGTTTCAACATTTGCCCAGGGGTCTCAAACTCCTGGCTGCAAGTGATCTGCCCGCCTTGGCTTCCCAAAGTACTGGGATTACAGGCATGAGTCCCACTGGACCCGGTCTCCTTTTTTCTTCTTTGAGACAAGGTCTCACTCTGTCACCCAGGCTGGAGTGCAGTGACGCAGTTACAGCTCACTGCAGCCTCGACCTCCCAGGCTTAGGTAATCTCCCACCACAGCCTCCTGGGTGGCTGGGACCACAAGCGTGCACCGGCACACCTGGCTATTTTTTAATGTTTTTGTAGAGATGGGTCCCCCCATGTTACCTAAGCTGGTCCCAAACTCTGGGGCTCTTTCTTCTTTCCTATGGGCTTGAGCTTCAGTTTAAAGATGCATGTCCTTCCTCCTGTGCCCTTCCAAAGCCATCACTGGAGAAGACTGAAGGCTGTGAGACTTTAGGGCTCATTGTTCCCATCACTCAAAGGCCTCTCCAAGCCCCAGGTTCTCCTTTCTCGGGTCGGGTCTCACCTTCCTGTCTTGCTGGTTTGTCAGTGGCCAAGTGCCTCCTAAGTATAAAGCTCATTAGGCCACAGTCTGTGCCCTACTATGTGGTTTACCTACACAACTGTCCCTGTCCCCCCATCCAAGATGAAGGTGGGAGCCTCATATCCCAACAGTCCTGTATCTCCAGTGCCATGTGGAGGCCTCTGTGTTTCTGAAAGAAAGACGTTAACACAGGGAGAGATCCGTGAACCAGCTAACACAGTGCAGGAGGAACACTACAAGGCTTGCCCAGAGGCACTGGGTCCTGCACAAATCCCCAGAAATCCAGCTGCTCCTCTTAAAGCGGCAACCTGCTTCTTCCAGATTTACCCAGAGGCTGAGAATGTTCTCTGTTCTTTTTTGTTACTGTTATTGTTTTTGAGATGGAGCCTTGCTATGTTGCCTAGGCTGGCCTTGAACTCTTGGGCTGAAGCGATCTCCTGCCTTGGTCTCCCAAGGAGTTGGGCCACAGATGTGAGCTACCAGGCCCGGCCAGGGAATGCTTTCTGATGCACTCAGCAATGACACTTCTGGTAATGTGAAAATACCAATCTTGGATCAACATCCATCAGGAAGTCCTTTCTTATACCTAAGTCATCCCTGCTATGGGCTAAGCCTCCTCCCAGAGGCAAGGTTTGTATTAGAAAAATTCCTCAGTCAGGAGACTTGAGGTGGGGGCTGCCATGGAGCCTTCATGGTTAGGGACAGGTCTGGGCAGATCAGGGAGAGGCAGGCCTCTGGTTCCTCCTCTGTGAAGTCGGGATTCCTGCTGGTGAGGGCTCGGCCAGGGGTCATCATCCAGCAGGGGCCTCCTGGGGACATCTGGCAGCAGAGTCCAAGGGGAGTTCCCAGGGATGACCTAACAGCAATTACACAACAATGTCAGTGGATCAAGCCAGGGCGAGGACCCTAATTATTCCTATTTTACGGATAAGGAAACCAGCTCAGAGGCATTAGGCAATCTGCCCAAGACTGCGCAGCAATGGTGTTGGATCTAGGCAGGAAACCAGGATGTCCAGAAGCTGTTGTCTAATTCATGTCTTCCTCTCCCTAGGAAAGTGCAGCTCCTGGCCTGGTGGGCCAGTGGAGATTATATTGTTTTGTCATTAACAAAAGAATGCCATTCTGGTGACAGAAGAGGGAAGGGGAGCATCCCTACCCCGTCAGGCAAGGGAACTGCCTGTCGCGAGGCCCTCATCAGGCTGCTGGGGTGACAGCCGTGGGGAGGGGTAGGCTGGCTGCGTCTGGCCCTGCCAGCGGCCTTACCTTGTTGGCCCACTCGACCCGCTCCACGTCCGGGAAATGGATCTAGGAAAGAAGCCCCGAGGGGAAGTTAGACTTGAAGCCGTACACCCTCTGGGAACCAAGCAAGCCAGCCTGGTGGGTTCCCCACTCCACCCCTGCGCCCCTGACCCTTCCTCCCACCACCTCCACATGGGTCACCAGCACACTCTCCGCATGCAGTCGGCGCCAAGCCCTGGCAACTCAGAACCGGTCTTGCCCTCAAACAGCGCACCATCCAGTGGGGCAGGTGGCAAATAAACAGGCAATGATCCAACAGCTGGCACCGATTCCACGGTACAACCCAGCTCAGAGGCGCGCAGCGCGTGCCTGGGTGTTTATGGGCCTGCGGTGGTGGGCAGGACAGGCCTCCGCGCCTGGAGGCCAAGGTGGGAGAGGACAGGGAAGGCAGGCGGAAAGGGAGGGCTGGAAATTGCCTGTTTGGACACGAAAGTAAATCCCCACTCTTGGGGAAGCACAGGACCCAACCTGGATGCCAGGATAATACTCAGGGTACTCCTTACAAATCCCATCCCCCTTATTCATTTCAGTGACACAATATGTAGTCTCTGTAGAAAAATTAGAAAATGTAAAAATCAGCTAAGCAAAACAAAAAAATTCTAGAGATTTCTATCACCCAGTGATAAGCACTTAGCTTGATATTTTCATGGACAACTAAGGAGTGAGGTGCTGTGGGGCGCCCCTCCCACTCTGCCCACCTCTGCTCCAGAAGCCCCTTCCAAGCCTCCTCCCTTCCGCTTAGGCCCTTCCTATAGTCACAGAGCTTCCAACTATGGGGTCACAACCCCTAGCCACTCCAGCTCCACTTGCTGGGGGAACCCCAGTGCCGGAACGGGGAACAGCGGAAGGTGGGTGGAGTAGTGGCAGGATGGACCTGTTGGCTGACATGTGCATGACATAATTCTGAGAGTGCTTAGCCCCTCCAGGAGTCTGTCTCTGCCTCTGTCTGCTGAGCTTCTCATTCCCCCAGGGGTTTTCTTACAGAGGAGTAGGTGTGCACATGTACAGGGTACCTGCACAAAACACTGATCACCAAAATGGCAGCCACGGCCATCACTGTGGCTATGCCCCTAGTCCCCTGAGCAAGAGGCTGGCTTGGGGTCAGACTCAGAGTGGGCCTGGGACCCCCCACGATGGAGAAAGGTGCGGCCCTCCCAATCTGGAAGCTCAGAAGGGCCATTGTCCTGGGACTGAGTAGATGGGCCCCTGCAGCTCACACACCTACTGCACACCTACCAAGTGCTAGGTCCTGAGCCAGCTTTGGGGTTGCCCTAAAGACTCACACATATGCCCTGGCCCAGGATCACAGCCATTCCCAAAGCGGGGCAAAGGGCAATTCAATTCTCCTACTACAGTTTTGAACAGCCTTGACTGGTCAGAGGAGTCCAGTGCTTCTGAGACTCTTGGGACACCACACTATTCTTCCAGCCTCAGTTTCCCTTGCTCTGGGCAGTGGTCTATACTAACTCAGAGGAATTGATATTCCCAGGTAAGGAAGAGATAACACAGCCTGGTTCCCAGAGGTGCGGCTGGCAGAGGAGATCGATGGGGAAAGGAATTGTGGGGAGAGTCGGCAGGAGCTCAGATCAGCCCATCCAGCTCAGTGTGGGTGATGCCACCTGCTCAGCACACATTCTCTGCAGCCACCTGGGTCAGGTCCCAGCTGGAAACCAGGCAAATGGAAGGTGAGACCCTTCCATCGCTTCCTATTACATTGCTCAGTAAATAAAGTAAAAACTCCTGCACATGGGCCTAGAGAGGGGACTCAGCTCAAGTGCAGGAAGGGGAAACAGAGGAAGGTGGGTGGAATAGTGGAGGGACTGTCCCACTGGCTGACATGGCCTCATTGCCCACTCCCACTGGGCCTTTTCAATCCAACCACCTTTACCTTTTCTGTTCCTACCGAAGGCCTGCATGTGCCATTCTGTATATCTGAAACAGTCTTTCCTACGCCCCTTTGATTCATTCATTTATCACTATCTTAGACATCACTTGCAGGAAGCCTCTCTGGGTCTCCCAAGTTGGGGATAAGTGAGGCGCCTGCTGGTTCCCTATTGCAGCATTTAATACACTTTACCTGAGCTGCCTGGTCTTACTGCCTACCTCCCAATACTAGAAGCTCTAGGAGGACTGACTGAGCCTCACCCCCATTAAAGCCCATTTCTAACATATGAAGGTCTCAATAAATACTTGTGGAATGAATGAATGAAGCACAGTTCTTGCCCTCAAGGAACTCGCAGGCAGGTGATTAACAGATCACTCTGGGACAGGATCAGTGCTGAGGTGGGAAGAGGGGGCACCCTCAGAGAAGCCTGCTGGCCTCACCAGTAGCTGCCCTCCTTCCAGCCCAGGCATCGCGCTGCCCACCCCACACCCCTGGCCCAGGTGGTTTTGTGACTTCAGGAGCTGAGTAGTTCTGATCTCTGGACCCTGAAAGGTGATCCTGTTTGGTGGGCCCAACCCCAGCCACCCTTGGGAGTTGGTCAGATGAAGATTCCTCAGCTGCCTCATGCCACTGAATCAGAGTGTACCAGGGTGGAGCTCGCCAACTTATTTTTCACAAGCTCCTGGTATGATGCTGGAGTTCAGTCAGGGTTGGGAATCAATAACCAGCCCACCCCTTGCCTCAGGGTGACCCACATACATGTTGAAATGTAGGAAGCAAGGCCGGGAGCTGTGTCTCATGCCTATAATCCCAGAACTTTGGGAGGCCGAGGCAGGTAGATCACTTAAGCCCAGGAGTTTGAGACCAGCCTGATCAACATGGCAAAACTCCATCTCTACTAAAAAATACAAAAATTAGCCAGGCATGGTGGCTCGTGCCTGTAATCCAAGCTACTTAGGAGGCTGAGGCAGAAAAATCGCTTGAACCCTGGCGGTGGGGGTTGTAGTGAGTTGAGATCACACCACTGCACTGCAGCCTGGCATATAGAGCGAGTCACAATCTCAAAAAACAACCAAAAAAAAAAAAAAGTGTAGGCAGCAACAGAATGAGCAAGGCCCACACTGGTTAAGCTGTCCTGGTCTCTCTTGATTACCCACGCCTGCATATGAAGCTCGTCACCAACAGGCTCCTTCATGGATGAGTCTGAACCCCATGAAGAGAGCAACAATTCAGTCCAAGAAAGGAAGAGACCACAAGTCCCCTGCCCTGCCTAGGGACTGAAGGTCAGCCTGAGTCTCAGCAGCTGCCTTCACTCCCAGTGATCCAGATGGCTTGTGACTGCCCCGAGTAAATTTGGAGCAGGCAATGAAGTCACAGGGACCGATCCTTAAGGAGCAACAGCTCATCCTCAGTGCTTTCCCATTTTGACATCAACAGATCAATCTATTTTTCCATTGTAATTGGCCTTTTTTTAGAATTTGAAGAAATCTTGTCCCATCCCACATTCTCAAAGTTACCCTGGATTTTTATCTATTGGCTTTCACCTTTAGGTCTTTAATCTCTCTATTTTTTTACATAGGGTGAGGCAAAGATATAGTTTTGTCTCCCTCTATACTTTCACTAAAGCAGTTTTCTACCAACATATTAAAAAAATTCCATCTTTTTCCTTGACTTGTGAATCTACCACTCAAAAACCAGCTCCTCATATGTACTTTGGTATGTTTCTGGGCTTACCATTCAACTCCATCAGTCTGCCCATCCCAGGACCAGTACCAGTACCAGTACCACACTGTTTTCATCACTGTGTTTTTGCCAAATGACCTGGGGTAGGGCGATCCCCCCTCCCATTTTTTCTTCTTGTTGTTTCACTTGTGTTACCCAGGCTGGAGTGCAATGGTATGATCTCGGCTCATTGCAACCTCCGCCTCCTGGGTTCAAGCGATTCTTCCACCTCAGCCTCCGGAGTAGCTGGGACCACAGGCACGTGCCACCATGCCCGGCTATTTTTTGTATTTTTAGTAGAGACGGGGTTTCACCATGTTGGCCAGGATGGTCTCGATCTCTTGACCTTGTGATCTGCCTGCCTTGGCCTCCCAAAGTGTTAATAGTTCTAATTGTTTATGGATTCTCCCAGAACTCTTCCTTTTTCTTTGATCTAACTCTGTTGCTCTTTTATATTTTTAGAGTTGAACTTCATGAGTTTGGGGTATATCATTTATTTTCCATTTTTCTTGTTTTGTAATAAATGAATTCAAAGGTATAAATTCCTCTAGTTTTTGACAATATTTTCGTTGCTATTCTGCTCTCAGTTTTTTTCTATTCCCGTTATGACTTCCTCTTAAATGAGTTTTTAAAATAGTCATGTTTTAAAATATCTAGACCTGCAGGATTTCAATAGCTATTTTTGTTGTTTTCTAATAATAATTTCATTTCTTTGTGGCCTGAACAGTGTGTAGGACTGTCAGTTCATTGGAATATGTTGACAATACCTTGTGGCCTAGTGCATGATTAGTTTCCAGGACGGTTCCATGTGTGATCAGGTTACTAATCACATCCTCCTAAATACGCTTTATTCTTGCTTCGTCTTTGCCGCTTCAATTGATCGTTTTCAGAAAGGGATGTGTTAAAAGTTTCCATGCCCAACTGTTGATTTATCTACTTCCTCATGTCAGTTGTTGATGTCTATCTCAAGTTTATATCATGTAATACAGATATGTCTGTGATTATCATAATTATTATTTGAGACAAGGTTTCACTATTTCACCCAGGCTGGAGTGCAGTGGTGTGATCTTGGCTCACCGCAGCCTTGACCTCCCAGGCTCAAACAGTCCTGCCACCTCAGCCTCCTGAGTGCCTAGGACTCCAGGCGTGTATCACCACTCCTAATTTTTGTGATTTTTTGGGTAGAGATGGGATTAGGTCATGTTGCCCAGGCTGGTCTCAAACTCCTGGGCTCAAGCTATCCGCCTGCCTCAGTCTCCCAAATCAGTGTTGGGATTACAGGTGTGAGCCACTATGCCTAGGCATGTAATTATTGCCCTTCACAAGCATACAACAACCTTCTTTGTCGGAGTTCTATTTTGTCTAATATGACAATTGCCACCTCAGCTTGCCTGTGTTT